TGTCTTCCAGAAAATAAAATTACATAACTATACTTATTTATAGTTTTATTTTATCCCACATACTAATCTAAAGTATATTCGAGTAATTTTGGTGTAACCTCTCAAATACGAGTATATAGGAATTTACCCCATAGGTTTGTGAGGCTTGAGCCAAAATTACTCGAATATGTCTTAAATAAAAAGTTTTAAGTTACAGAAAACAAAGGTTTGAAATTCCCGCTAAAAAGTTTTATATGGGCGTCCACTGTAGCGCTTTTAGTGTACACCATAGACTTAGGATATACTGGCGTATCGTAGATAGAGGATTGACTAGATAAAGCATTCGCGTATGCTTTTGAGATAGAAATAGGAGGGAGGTACTTTCACTGGGTTACCAGATATTGTTCCATTTCCCCCGTTATGGGTTTATTTATATTCACAGCACTTACATTCATGCAAAAAACTTAATTGTTACCACACACACATTGTCTTTTATAATTCAGATGATTAATTAATTTCTCTTGAAAATACATTCTGTGACAAAAACTACGGACGGAAACGGCGTAAAAACAGAATCATCATTCTGTATTCAACGGCGCATCGACGATTTTACTGGACATTCAATAAACTCTTTGGATTTCGACGGCACTAAGTGAAGGCGCTAATAGCACAAAGTGTGATATCGCTAATAAATAACAATATGTTATGTATGTATTTAAATATTAATTGAGAATAAATATATTAAATAAATTAATATTTTTATTCTCAATTAATATTAATATAATTAATAATAAAATATAATTATTAATAAACAAAAATTTCCTTGTGTCGAGTTTTTACAAAAAAAAAATCAATAATGTTTTAACATACCATTCCATCACAAGTTCAGGGCTGAACACAGACCTTCGAAAGGAAAGGGTTTCCACTTAGGTTTTGTAGTACAAAATACGGTTATGAGCTTACTCCCGCGATTTCCTGCATGTTTTGCTAAGTTAGTGTCTTGTGTGCGGCAAGTTGTGGCGTAGAAGAGAATTTGTCTGTACACGGGATGATATTACCCCGCGTCGTAAACAATAATACAAGATGGGGATGGGGCAGCAGCACTTTCCCGATGAAAAATTAAAATAATAAAAAACTGCGGTGGCCAACCATCATAACGCATATTTTCACGCAGGCGTGGCAACTATGGCAAGTCATCCTATGAGGATATCTATGGAAGGCCTTTTTTAGGTGACTTGCTTATGGTTAGGTGGCTTAATCATGTTACCTAATGGTTAAGGTGGTAAAATGTTTTAGTTAATATACGTTGTAAAGCATCAACAAAGGATTTTTTTTTTTGTAATATGTTGGTATATAAAATAAAAACTATAAGTAGTGATTTACACCTTTTGATTTCGGCTAAGATAAAAAAAACGATTGGTATTAAAAATAATCGATTTATAACGGTTAATAGGTCTATAAAAATCAATTGTTCGTTTTTAAGCAAACAGTTGTCGATTGTTATAAAAAAATTATTTAATCGATTATTTAGTTACAATACTTGTATTTTCAGCTGTATGTAGTTTTTTAGAGCCAGGTATTTTACAGACTTTGAGTGACTAAGTGCATTTTTGCCACTCGATTCTTACGAATCATTTAGCAATTGCACTCGTATGTACCAGTGGAGTCACTTATAAGTAATTCGGTTTATTTCAATGACCTTTCACAAGCAAATTGAGACTAAGATTGATATTCAAGCTTAATTAATGCGAAGCGTTTTACACAATTTAACTTACAAATCACCTTTTTCACATTTATTTTTTTTTACAAATTATTGTGCAATGATGCAAGCTGATCTTAACATTATCTTTATTAGTTTTAGTAAATAAAAATATAAATAACACTTTTACCTTATTTCTAATTTTTATAACTTGTTTGCTCATCTCAGTCAGACAACAAAACGCCAAAAGGTAATACATATAACAAACCAAGCCCATTTATACGTGGTAGAGGCATGATGCAGCTATATTAGTAGTATAGTTGTAGCACGAATGGGTCGGCCCGACCGGGGAAGGACCACGCCCTCAAAAAATACCAGCGTAAAATAGCAGCTTGACACTGCTGTGTTTCGTATGGTGAGTGTAGAGAACCAGCGACCCATTTTACTGGAAAAGAGGCATTCCATCTTAGTCCTCGTGGGTGACAACGCATCTGCATTTTCATTCTTTATTGAGGATAAACGTAGATATCTATGGGTCACAGCAACCACTTACCATCAGGTGAACTGTGTGCTCGTTTGTCACCCTATACTATAAAAAAAAACTACTCTAATGAGTATTAAGGTAGCGCTGTAACTGGTATAAGCCTGATTGTTTCGTTCCGTCACAGAATAAATAATAGTACCTATTACGTAGTCTCATTCTATGTTCTTGGCTGAACAGCTTGAATAAGAGCCGAGTGATCGAGGTCGAGCACAGAGTACCTTATTAATACTGAAGTCGAGCCACATCACCACAGATTACACTGACATAAAAGTATATTATAATATAAGTTATATTTAGGTAAGATATATTTATATAATTAATAGAATCAGGCGTTACTTTGCGGAAATCCATTATATAAAAACTTTTAGGAAAGTTTTTGTATATTTATATCTCTATGACAGAACACAATTACTCTCTACCGAGAGTAAATATAGTGATTATATTGTCTTTGACCGAGAGCACATCACTATTTGTCAGGAGTTTTGGCGGTAACTTGACCGGCGGCGATTTGCTGCTCCTGTATTATTGTTTAAATAATGGTTTGAAGCGGACTTTGATATGTAAAAGTGGTGTGATTTTGTGTATTAAGTGTCTGCGCATGTGAACTATTAGTGGAAACTGTGAAACAAGTGCTCTGATAGTGATGTGATTCTCAAAATAATGTGTCTGTCTGCTTACGCGCCTTGAGGTACCATCGCCAACCGTCAGCTGTCTGCTGGCTCAAGTTGCCGTCAAAATCTCCCAAGGGCTGCACAATGTGACGCATCAACATATTGCGAAGCAGTATACTATGAAGTAGTGTTGCCCAAAATCGGTCTTGGTCTTGCAGTCTTGGTCTTGTTCTTGCATTTTGAAAGACCAAGATCAAGAAAAATACCGCATATTTTTAGCAAGACCAAGACCAAGACTGACCGTGCAAGATTTGCGCAAGAACAAGACTATGCTTGCGAGACTCTTGCGTCTTGCATTTAGGACTGAGTGCTAAAACATTAGCTGGCTTATGCCTTCTACAACCCGCCTGTCACACATTAGCACTAGCATTAGCACATGAGCACATTTTTCAATTAATACGTTGTAGCTGGGGCCAACTGACCAACTAATTAGGGTTAATTCGGAAAAATATATTATTATTAATTTACTTGTGATATTACTTAAAACAATCAGCAACTTTTTCGTATCATCGTATGACAAATTTGTAACCATGTTCTAATTACTATTTTACAATCTGCCATTTTTAATGGATACATGTACAAAATTACATTGACTTGATTATGCAGAAAAGGACCAAGGAATGTAAAAATCTATGCATGACAGATGCCTAATTCTAATGTTAGTTTCAATTACTTTATCTTTGCGTCTTGTATCAGTGACCTCTCTTCTGTAGGGCAATTTTAAGTGCTATTTTAGTATCGTAATTATAACGAATAACTATAAAAATAAATTAGTATTAAGAATAATTTCCTATTAATAGACACTGGTAAATGTACTAACATACGAGTCTATTACCAATGAAAAAAATCTGCTTATGGTAATGGCCACGTAGCCAAACGCTTAGCCACAGAGCTACGAGTAGCAAGCCCTCAAATATGAAGGATAATTATATTATATTGTAATTTCAGGCTCAGAAGGGCTAGATCCCAGAACCGTAAAGCCAGTTATTAAAAAAAACTATTTGTCACAGAGTACTTTTATATATACCACAAACTATAAATATATATAATACGTAGATAGAGGATTGACTAAGATACTATGTCTATTATATAATAAGAAGTGCTAGCGCAATATATATACAATTAGTCTGTGCAATATACATTGTACATACTACATGCCACAGCATCGGTTACATAACCGATATTTAGTTTTCATATCTTTATTGAAAACCGTTTTCAAATATCGATATAAGTAGTAATCGTTTGCTACTGAATGCGCAAACGACAACCGAAACATAACCGAAAACTGTAGAACCAGTGCAGTATATATATATATATATATATATATAAAATGCAAACAAATATTACAAATTAATGCACAAACGCAACGTTAAAAATTAATAATTTTACAGATAATTTCATAGTGAACGGCACTCGCCACCAAAGTCAAGTGCGTAATTGTTACGTTTAAAAAATATCTAATTCTAAGCTTTCCATCTAATACACACACAACTACACAAACTTACAAATTAGGCAATTTTAACCATTTAAAATTCGACCTTATTATTAAGTACCTTATAATTATATTTCACTACGTGCACCGTTTTATGATAACTACTAAGACATCGCAACGAAATCCATATTCGTTTCATCTTTTTCATACGCATTTATGATAACGTCGCTAGAACGAGAAACAACGAATATCAAAGGACATTGGTTAGTTTTGGGCCGTGTTGGCATATCGTTACAGTTTGCGTTTTAAAGTGCTATTAAAAACACATCTATGTGTATTTTTATTTATATCTATATCCCAAATTCCTAGGCTGGGGTAGGGTAGCTTAGCCCGCTAGCCAGTCTGCTAGAAACATAGATTATATTCTATGTGGTCAGAAAGTCTGTAACCCGCCTAAGGGTATTAGTGTTCTGTAGTCTGAAAGTCTTGTTTGTGGTTAAAGTTAAACTTTAACAACTTTATAATTTGTGGTTAAACTTATTTATTTACAATATATACGTACATACATACTGTTAGAAATTAAAAAAATAACCTAAATACCTTTACGAGCAAAGACATTTAATTAGTAGGATACCTATATATTTAAATCTCTTTGTATACGAGATAAATTTGAAAATGTCTCATTTCAAATTAATTTCCTCTACTAAAGCTTCTGATGTCATACCAGTAAATAAATACGTCTCCGAAAAGACGGGATTGACGGTAATAATAGCGGACGTAGAGGGACCGCTCGTCAATGGATTCTTTTGCCTAGGTAAGTTATTACAACTCCCCATTTAAATAAATGATTTTTTTTTAAATATTGTACTAGGTGTTTATATTTTATCGTAGCCACCGAAGCTCACGACGACGATGGGCTACCACATACCCTAGAACACCTTATTTTCCTGGGGTCGGAACGATATCCTTATAAAGGTATACTTGATTTATTGGCTAATCGCTGTATGGCCCATGGGACCAATGCTTGGACAGACACTGATCATACATGTTATACCATTTATACGGCGGGAGATGAAGGAATGCTGACACTGCTTCCAATTTACTTGGATCACATTCTAAGACCCACTCTAACAGATCAAGGCTTTATTACTGAAGTTCATCATATTGATGGAGATGGTGAAGATGCTGGAGTTGTTTATTGTGAAATGCAAGGGCGTGAGAATACAGCAGATAGCAGGTACATATTATGTTTTAATTATAATATTATATGAAAAAGATTAAATTTTGTTGATTGCATATTACTTGAAAGAAGTTCCTTTTTTACTTAAATCTGTAATATGTATATGATAACATTGTAAATATTGATTGATAGGATATTTTAGTAATAAATCATAATACATAATTTTCTTAGTATGTAGTTATTATTAACTTGCCAAAAACATTCATGTGAAAAGGGGCCAAGTTCAGTATAGCAGTTGAATGAATGAATATTATCCATTTCTATAGATCCTATGATTTAAACAACTGTGATTTATCTTAGTAGCTGTTCAGATCTCACCTTTTTTATGGGCATATCCTAAATGTTTTTAATTTCGATATTACGGACAGACTTAAATATTCTAAATGTATAGATGTGTGAATTCTTGCTTCATGTTTCACCACTGGCCTTCCATGCTCTGAGTGTAAGTCCCTTCAACTGCAATGAAAGGATTCTGAGGGTAGATGTGATTGACCTTGCTATGAATTCTTATTTATGGATTGGCAGAGTAATAACTATGCCAGCAATCTGTAATATAGATCATTGTCCCTCCAGTTACACGTTTACAAGAATTATTAATGTCTGCTGATCTCTCATTATTGGGTCACTTCATTCAACCCATATTCATTTGTTTAGTGGTAAACCATCTCCAGTACCCAGTGATTTCTACTGTAGGAATACAGGAAGGCTGTATTACTGTATTATATTTCTTTTTGTCAGATTTATAATTTTTTTGGTAAATAATTTCTTGATATTATAAACTGACATCCTACGTACAACTATGTAACTAAAAGAAGTAAATTTTACAGAAGAGCGATTTTAAGTTTTAAAAAAAGACAAATCATCATAACTTAATCTCTGTATAGATTTATATGCTGATATTATGTAAAGATTTTGATAATGGCATTTTTGAAATTACCATTAATATAATTACCCATACAGATATCTACAAATAGTATCACAGGATAAAACCTTTTAGTGACTCTTAATTTATTCTTCTTCTTCTTGATCTTGTTCGTTTTCATCATCACCCTCTATCAAACTCATTTAAAAATCATGATAAATGAAAGGTATTATTTTATTACGGCATAAGTATTTTAGGTCCTGAAGCTTGGCCTGTGGTATTGGAAACTTTCCCTCGTATGCTTGGCTCAATGTTCTTGAAAGCGGGGCTGAAAGTGGACTGTTGTCTAATCTTACGCTTTTTTTTGCTCTAGTTTTAGGAGTCTCTACTGCATTATTCACAACAATATACTTGAACTCGTGGTCACAAAAATTGGTTTTGTACTGTATTCTGTCAGTGTATTCTGGCAATATTTGTAATTGCTTAAGATGGGACCAGAAAATTCGTTCTCTGTCTGTATTTATAGTCCAGTTGCATCCAGGGAGGAGTGCTTTGAAATCTATAAAATTTGAAGAAGTCATTTCCTTTACTATGTATGGGTTTCCATCTTGTTTGGCCCACCTTATGAGGGCAAACCACTGTTCAGGTGTACCATTTTATTCTTGGCAGTTCTTTCGATAAGTGCGTGTACGCTGTCGCCCTCATTTTGTGTATGACCTTTCTCAAAATATTTATGAGTTATGGTGACTTGAAAATCTTTTGCTGCTCGCAAGTAGGCAACAAAAACAGTTCGATTATGATTCTGTCCTCTGTAATTATCAGACCAAAAGTTGAAAACTTTTACGCCCTTTTGGTGATTTTCTTTAATGTAGTCATATAAGCAGCTACTCACCTCGTTTGCTCCTCGCTTTGCGGTGCTTTCATCCCAAACATAGCAGTTGGCAACTCTGCTTCCCATTTTAAAAATGTTCAAATTTAATACTTAAGTACTTATTAATAAAATCCCAATGTAGAACTACCTCTCCCATCGACCAAAATGCCTTAAAAAACAGGTTACATTCAAAATCTGTAACTTTTTGTGAACACTTTAACTTACAATTTTCTCCACATGACAGCCCCATCTCCTTCCCTTTCCTTAGTCTTCCATCCCTACCTTTATATGATTTTCCTAAATTTTTATTTGTTTTACGCTGAACACCCAACAATTGATCTCGATGGGTCAAACGTAATCGACCCTTATGTTTTTTTCTTGTAATTTGCCTTTTCCTCGGTTGTGGTTCACTGCCGTGAAAAGTATTTTCTGTCGACTGGGTTTCTATTGGTACAGGGGAGCTAACTGGCATGGCATCGAGTGGTATGGGAGCAGGCGAGTGAGCGCATTCTAACGAGTAAATGACATTCGAGACCTAGGGCTGTTATTAGATTCTAAATTAGACTTTCATCTACGCATGACAAGTATCTGTAAGAACGCACATAGAATGTTAGGTTTTGTTAGGACTGGAACACAATTTGACAATGAAGTAGTTGCTAAAATACTATTTAAAATACTAACTGGGCAATCTCATGAGCTATGAATGACGAGAAATTTGGTGACTCTATAGAAATATCATTTCTAATACCTGAAACTGATCATCGTAGGCGATTGTGGCATTATAGGTGCTAATGGGGTGGGGTCGTGGGAACAGTCTTCTGATAAGACTACTGGTGCTTCACAACTTGTAGTTATTGAGGAATTGTTTATGGCACATTCTATGGCCTTAAGATATCTTTCCTTAGCACTTGGTTCTTCATCACTGTCCTTGATCATTTCCGTTAATTTTTGTAAATCTTCTTCAGTGAAATCTTTAGGGAAGGGTACTGGAGTATCTGAAAAACATCAAAATTCTGTAAGGTACTCGACTTTCTTTGATAATCCATATAATTTAATTTTTTTTATAGGATAGAGTGACAAACGAGCACACAGTCCACCTGATGGTAAGTGGTTGCTTTAGCCCATAGACATCTACATCTATCCTCGTTTGCGAATCAAAATGCAGATGCGTTGTCACCCGTGAGGACTAAGATGGAATGCCTCTTTTCCAGTAAAAAGGGTCTCCGGTTCTCTACAACGTGCTATTTTACGCTGGTATTTTGTGAGAGCGTGGTCCCTTCCCGGTCGAGCCGACCCATTCGTGCTACAACTATACTACTAATATAGCTGCAGCATGGCTCTACCACGTATAAAAATATAATTAAAGTATAACTGTAAGTGTACAGTTAAATATTTATAAACGAATAACATCCCAATGTAAAACAATATATGTGTTGGTTAACTGATTTCATTTCTACATCATTTCATTGCATAAGTATGTAAGTGCTAGATAGGATTTACGATCACACTGAATTCCATCTAATAAATGTGTAACTACGTAGTTACATACTTGTGCATTGGGATTGAATAAAATGCACATAATGTAATTATTATGATAAATGTTTGGATTCAGGATGTGGTCAGATATTTTCAGTATAGATAAAAACCACAATTTAAGACAAGTACATAGAAAATACACTTCAATCTTGATAAAATAATTAGAAAATAGTACTTATCTTGTCTTGACGGTGAGCATATTTGGTCTGGTGACTTCATTTTTTCAGTAATCTTAAATTATCGTCCTTTAATTGCATCTTCCTTCAGCGTATTTAAAAAACTATAATGTTTACTCGACATCGTACAATATTACGCAGCGTATACGCATGCCATTCGCTGTCCGCAGAAGAACTGAGAGAGGGGCAGTTACCTGCAACCGGCGCCCCGTTCCTCCCGCGTTAAAATATTTATCTGAAACTTAAATGGTTGTACGCTGTGTTTTATATATAAAAAATATGTTATAAAGAAAAAACTTTAAATAAAATTGTTGATATTATAAATACGGACATGAAGATGCTAAAAATGCAATAAAAACCATTTAGTGTATCAGGCAGATACAGACTTATACTTAGCGGGTGTCGAAACATGTTATTGTGAGAACATGAGAAGGAAAAATAATTTCGAGTATAACTTTATAGTTCCTGGCCTCCATTCCGCGAACTTATTTGCATCCCCTCATTACTTATTCTGAACCTTTTCTCCAATTTTGGCTGGTTATTGCAAAATAACCCTGTATATGTACTAACATACAATTGATTTGTTAATCAGCAGATTGATGTAATTAGAAAGTCATTAGTATATTTGCCTATTCACAGATGTGAGCTGCGTTTATTACGTGCTATGTACCCAAACAGTGGCTACTCCTCAGAAACAGGGGGTATTATGAAAAACCTTAGAACTTCCACCTCCAATACAAAAGTAAGTTTCTTAAATTTTCATAATTGCGGTTATGTATATTATATATATTCAGTAGTAAAATTAAAAATATCAGCTTCAACATTTATTAAGCAAGCACAAATGTTCTCAAGTTTATAGAAATTTATTTAATATTTAACATATAAAAATTATATAATATGATGCTTAAAACATGTAATTTGTGAAAGTTAAATAAAAACAATGTTTTAAATTATCAATATGATAATTTATTACTAAAATTTAAATATCAGCGTCAACATTATATACATATGCACATATTCCAATTAAAGTAAATTTAACGAATTTTTATGCCAACGATTTTTGAAGTAATTTTGAAATTTCAAAGTAGCATAATATTTCAAAAAATCTTTTAGTACATGATTTTCTGGTAAATTGATCTGACCATCATAAAATATCTTGTTTTGACAACTATCTATTGTATTACGTATATGGGTGAATCAACTTTTAAGACACTCCTTTGACAATATTTTGCAACAATAAATATAAAAAATGAAATAACGAAAACTTATAAAAATGCAGTGCTATATGTTATATCATTTATCTTATTTTTAGATTCCGTAGTTTGCCACAACATCTAAGTTAGAACTTAATGATTTTTTTGGAAAATCTGGTGTCCATGTCATATAACTATCCCCTGAGTTACATTTTTGAAAGTATCGTAGTTTGAAATAAAACTATAAATATTGGAAAACTAATATAGTAAATATTTATTTCAACTTAAAATGCAGTCTTCTAAATAATCAATCTTAATTTAAAATAATAGTAACATTAAAAAGAGACAGTTAACAATCCACTGCGTTACTTTGTTCATTATTAAATGCCGAACTTTAAGGTAAATCGCTATATAATGTAAACAGTCATACATTACATATTTCTAAGTTGAAATCAAGCCCTGAGGTCTGCTAATGGAAAGTAGTTAATTATATAATAAAATTAAAAGACAAGTTATCTTTAAAAATCCTTACACAAATTAAGGGACATCATGGTAACGCCAGAGAAAAAATGGTAACACTTGAGAATCATATACTATCTATGAAGTACGTAAGTACTATTAACAATATAGTGTATGTAATCATAATATTAGCTTCTAAAATCGACTAGTAATAGGTACCCTGATTTAAGTAAGTGTAATATACTTATTCTTATTTCTTTTCAAACACATCTATCGATTTTTCGAATTGGTAGTACGAGCGATGTCCTCGCTTGATAATGTCTGGTGCCGGTAATTTCTGTATAATGTTATCATAATTCACGTAAGAAATATCCGTTTCATCCAAACGAAAACGTTTGGCGTTTTCCTCCACTACTCGTAAAAACATTACTTTTACTTCTCCGTCTTCTTCAACATCAGTCAATGTTGTGCATGCATAGGTGTACGATTTGTTTTTTGGATGCGTCTACGTACAACTTCATTAACAAAAAGTCTCCACGTCCAATCTTCGTACTTTGGTCATGACTGCTACATGGCAATTCTTCTTCTGATGAAGAATCACCATATATTGCGTCATATGTTCTTCGGTGTCTGTTCGTCATATCCAGTAATTCTTTTGCAATTTTTATGTTATATAAGTGTTCATCATCATCATCATCTGGCTCAGTTTCCATGTTCAGTATTTTTGATATCGGATTACAATTTGTGTACTCCAAATTAGTGTTCGTAGCAATGATATCAATTTCCTTTGTTACCAAATTGTTAGATAAAGTTTCATCATGCGTTAGGCCAGGAATGGAAGCACTCAGTCTATTTTCGTCCGCATCATAGGACACTCCGATATCGTATGCCTTTGGATTGAGACACGTACAGAATCCTCTTCCTTCCGGACTACCCGCCTCACAGAAACAGCTTAAATCTCTAAATTTTTATTTACCATAGCGGTACAAAAATACTTGATGAACTTTAACAGCTCCTACAAGTCTTGGGATATTGACTGGCAAGGCTTTCTGTTGGTCCTCAATATTTTTTTCATCAATTAAATATAGTTTTATTTTGCTGATGTTATTCATCTTGTCAAAAAATTGTAGAACGTCAGATATATCATCACCATTGGCTACAATTTTGTCTGCTGTTCTCTTAAGAAAACCTCCAACACCATCAGCCGGCCCTTTCCCATGTCCTACTTCAAAAAATGACCACGTCATGTAAGAGAACCCGTAATCAAAATACTTCGTACACATCAAGTAAAAATTTTGTTTTTGTCTGTACTGTGTACTCGGGCCGTCCGAAAAGAAATGCACGGTGTTGACGGTTTCAAAATTAGATCTAATCCATTTTAATATTGGATCTAAGTGACTCCAAATTGCGGCAGGTTGATGATTGTTTGATGCGGAAATACTGCAAAACGAATTGACATTATAACCTCTTGCAGAATCACTGTCAAAGGTATATACTACAACCGTGTGAAGTGAAACTTGTTTGCGTGATCCTCCAAAATGGTGTGATTGTACTTCCTGGCTATACTTACAACTATAGTTTTCACTAAAATCCGCAACCACAACGCATTCATTCAAACGAATATATTCAAGACAAAAACGAAAGTTTTTAAATTGTGTCTTAATATTAAACACGTGCTTTTTAAATGCTGCAAGATCGCTCTCAAATCTTTTTATAAATATACCTGCTTCTTCATTTTTATTTTCTTTTATGTTTTTAATTGTTTTTAGGGTTTTCCCATCTTTTGTGTATTTTTCTTCCTTTCTTACCCATTCAGTCCATGTTATTGAACCTTTTACATTTTTAATAAAGTAATTATTTTTTTTAGTGATACACTGAATGCATATGCCGTACATGCAATCTTTGGACTCTGTACTGCAAACTGTTGACTCAATTAGAATATTTAAGTTATCAGTGCTTGTAATGCCATTTCTTTTTAAAGCTTTTGCCTTATAGACAAAGTTTGTATGGGTTTTGCATAGGCACATATCTCTGGCGTCGATAGAGGCATTTACGACATAAAAAGGTTTATTCTTAGTAAAATAAAAGTAAGAACAACGAAGATTAGGGTTCTCCTTCATAAAAGTTTTAAACAAATTTTTCATTGTGTCAAGCATGAATCTTTTTTGTACTTTTATGCTTGCTTTTGTGAGCGTTTCCTTTTTGCCAGCTGTTGCACGTGATATGTCATCTCTTAAGTAAAATTCCCTTATTTTCTTCTTTAACACTGTGTTTTTATCTACCCTCTCTTTTCTTTTAACAATTTTGTCAACGCCTAAATTCTCTATAAGTATCCGTTTTTTCATTCGTGAGTCTTTGACATCTACAGTTTCAAATATCTTCTTTATTACCTCTCTTTCTCTTCTAGATTTTGTCTTCTTGAATGTCTTTTTAATAGCTCCACTTAAAATTAAGTACCTTAAGTCTTCATTTTTTTCAACTATGTTGGATTTAGTTTCGATTTGTCTGTGATATCTTTTCTTAAATTTCTCGTACTTTCGTCTTAGATTTTCATTATCTTGCCTAAGTTTTGCGTTTTCTCTATGCACTCTCGACCTGTCCTTTTTCACTTTTTTTCGACCTGATTTTCTGCAAGGTGTTGGTGACCTAGCTGATGACGATACGCACAGAGGTGATGTCTGTGGTGAAGGAATAACATGGGGGGGGGGGGGGCGTTGGTGGTGGAGTTCTAATCTGGAATCGGATCTAGGCGAGTCCAGGGGTGTTTGTTGTAATAAGCTTTCTACAGCCTGTTTTCGTTCTTTTAGTTGTCGTTTTCGTAATTTCCATATCATATTTGCATTATCTTTTTCTTTAGGAGTCAAATCTTTTACTAATCTTTTGGACTTATGATATCGTTCTTGGTGCTTTTTCTTCGCTTCTTCGTACTTTTCTTCATTGTTTTTTAGTTTTTCTCTATAGCGTTTCTATTTCTCAGCTGCATTTTAATTGTTGCCCAGATCTAAAACAAAGTATACTACATATTTTTAGTCCCTCAGAAAAGTAGATAATTTAAAATTAAAAATTATGTACAGCCGACTTCAATATAAGTTATTAAGAATAACTCAAAAAGTATTGGTCTGACCTTGATCAAATTCATATGGGACCACACCAAAAGCTTTCATTTTTATCCGCTTTCATATAAAAAAAGAATCATCTTAATAGGTCCACCCAGTAAAAAGTTATGAGGTAACACACATAAAAAAAACATACGCGTCGAATTGAGTACCGTCTCCTTTTTGGAAGTCGGCAGAAAAGAAACGCTGCATAATTTATTAGTAATAAGCATTATTGAAAAGTGTGGCTTGAAGAAAATAAAATCTTTTCTTAGCTCCTCTTAACTTTTCTTTTTCCTGGCCTTATCACCAATTTTTTGAGTGTGCATAGTACATATCTTCCCCTTCCATTCTCTTCTATCAGCCGTCATGTCTTCACTCACTCCTATTTCACGCATATTATCCTTAATACAACCCATCCATCTTTCCTTAGGCCTCCCTCTCCTGTTATATCCATCCACTTCCTAAGCACTTGGTATTGCATGTTTGAATTTTTTTAGTTACTTTTTTTAGTTATGAGGTAACACACATAAAAAAAAAACATACGCGTCGAATTGAGTACCGTCTCCTTTTTGGAAGTCGGCAGAAAAACGACAAAATATCCCTAATTAGCTATATCATTCTGCCAGACATTCTTTGACGTTGTCGGTAACGCGAGAGAAAGTTCTCTAGCGTTACCGGTAACTCAGGAGAACATTATCTTGCGTTACCGATAACGCAGGGGAAAATTTTGCTTAAAAAGACTACAAATAATAACACAGTTTAAACTAACGAAAAAGTTGGTCATAACCTTGAATTCAGACAGCGTGGGTAACATTCTAGCATAATAATAGCAAAATATTTTAAAAACTTACCGCTATTTACGCAGTAACGCTGTAGAACGGCAATAAACCCACGCGTACTGCTTGGGGGCTTCCAGCGGTCTGAGGGGCGCGTGGCGGGAGAATTGTCTTGTTGAACCACTCCGAAGAATTATTAGACAATAGACTCTTTCACTAACATATAATTAGACGCCATCTCTTAGAAATTGTCTTCAACTTTTTACAGTAACGCAGTAGAAAAGATATTTTTAACAATAATTGGGACACATGTTTAGGGATATCAAATAAATAATATTTAATTAAAATAATTGCGGTTTTGTACTTCAATGTAAAGCTTATTTAATTCTGGATCGAAAAACCTCTTAAATATTTAATGTATTTATACAACTTTTTAGAGAAAATTCATAAATTGTTACGTCACCTAGGTTCGGGGACAAGTATTTTTAGTAAGAAGACTGATTTTGTTCCGCTGAGTTACCAAAAAATCTCTTAAATCTTGCTTTAAATTAAAATAAACACTATATTGCCGTGGTAATGAATAATCTGATTATGTACTAAAGTTAAAAATCTAAATATTTGTAGAGAAATAAATTTTTTATGGCGACTTCTATGATGAGGACATGAAAGGAGTGCCTTAAAAGTTGATTCACCCATATGACAGGGCGAAAGTGCTATCTGTTCGTAAAACATTTATTCTGCAAAGTCTAAGGAGATATCATCGTGTCACTGTGCCTAAATTAAAACTTAGCAATAAGAGAATTGAACGATGTCCTGTTCCGAGACCAAATAGTGCTGTTTTTAGAAGACATTTTGACTTTTTGGCACCTAGGCTATACAACAAACTTAATAGTAAACATAACATAAGATCACTAAATAACTTTGAAGTGAAAAATAAAATTACAGTATGGCTAAAAGAATTTGATTATGAAGGTACGGAGAACCTTTTTTCCTTGGATGTATAAACAAAACCAGCTAATACATAAATACTCTCGCACACACGCACACCCACCCACACGCCCACCTAACCACACCCACTCCCACACACACACACACACACACACAATCACACACACGTAGTTTAGTTACAGTGCAAACATTACATTCCTTTTTAATATTTTTATTATACTTTTTTGAAATACTTTTTTAAATTTTCGTTAGTTAGTTTTAAGAAATTTTTGTAAACATAATCATATTTAACTATATATCGATAAACAAATTATTTTATTTTATAGGAACTAAGAATAGGGAAGGAAAACTAGCCCCTAAAATACAGGTATAATATCCTAGTTTGGGGGCTGTTGACCATTGTAAATATTTGTGATTTTAATATGTTTATCAATAAAGATTATTATTATTATTATTATTATTATTACTACTACTGGATTAGGTTTTTTTTTAAAGTAATCCACATGTTTACAAATATACTAAAAACTTGGGTCACATCTAAACATCTAACTTAATCTATTTGTATACATGCAAAACTTTACCTGTAGTATAACATTTAAAACAATAACAATTTTTATTCAGGTTAGAAACTTCCATAAGAAATTCTACAGAGCTGAGAATCTAACAATAATTCTCACGGGTCAAATTGAAGCTGAAGATGTTTTTAAAGCATTATCCCTCGTAGAGGACGACATCATTGCCAAGGTGATGTATAATTTTTAGAAATTGCATTAAATATTAAAATACAGATATATAACACAAATATTGTTTGCTTACACAACATCATGATGATGATTTTATTTTGGTTGGAACTTTTGAGAATTCTCAGAAGTTATCATATATATACATCAACTACGCAGGACAGACTGTGTGGCGACCATGGCGAAGTATTTGCAAACATAAAGGTATATTATTGGTGTTATGATGGTAAGCGGTCGTATAAATTTTTGAAATATCAAATAACTTATACGATTTTGAATGAGAATGTAATTAAAATTCAAAAAAAAGTTTACTTGAAGTAAAAAAAAATTTAATTAATTAATTATAAGTTCTTTAATTACAATTTTATTTACAATATTAACTACAAATCTTATTATAAGTTAATTTTAAATAAAAATTTTAAAACGAAAATATAGTTATAATTTTTTTTATTAACATTACTTTGATAACTATATCAAAGAATATTAAAATTTTCATCTCCATCATAATTTTCGTATAAAAACGGTCCGCGTACCTTGAATTGTACATCTGGTATGAATATCGGATGGTGAGTAAAATCTTGTGCTGAATCAAGCAATGGCAATGGCTATGGGTTGTCCACATAGCTCAAAGAATCGACAACCAATGGGGAAGAAAGGTTATCGAGTAGCAGCATCGTACCGGTAAGCAAAGTGTAGGACGGCCCCTCTCTAGATGAAGTGACGACCTGGTAAGAAATGCAGAAATTCGATGGATGCATGAGGCTCTGGGCCATGCTTTGTGGCATTCTTTGGGGGAGACCTATGTCCAAAAGTGGACTTGTGGAGGGCTGTAATGATGATGATGAAAAGCAAGATGACCAGAGCATCCTTAGCTCGGTCGCCTCATACAACACCCATGTTATGATATTATTCTGAATGATATTGATAATATTCCTCTTTACAGAAAGAAAAAGAACCACTTGAACAATGGGTGAAACCATGGCAGACGATACCTCCAGCACCATTATATGGGGACTATACGGAACAGTGGCCTGCTGACACTGAAGACTGTGGACAAGTATATCCATTTCTTTACAAATTGAACATCCAGTGCTCTTTAAAAATTTAAAATTAATTAGCAAAGATCTGCATGAAAATATAATGACGTGACTTACCTAGTTTGGAGAGCACCTCCCTCTCACAGTTGCGTGCACTATCACTACTACCACCACTAAACTAACTAAACTACTTGAGGAAACACACACCACTGTTGATAATACATGTTTCCTCTCTAATACCGTATTTTTTTATATAAAATAAGGATGACAAACAAGCACACAGTCCACCTGATGGTAAGTAGTTGATGTGGCCCATAGACATCTACATCTATCATCTTAGGACAAAAAAGCTGCGAAGGCTATATGCTAAGTGGGTGGCGAGACAACTTTAATATAACAAATTTCCGCAAAGTAACACCTGATACTGTTAAATATAAATATTAATTAATAATAATAATGACAATATCTTTAAAGTGACTGTAGAGAGTAAAGTTGTCAGTAAACACAGCTTTTGTGATTTTACGCGCCTAGCCCGTTTTAACGTGGTAGAGCCGGGCCGCTGTGTATTATGGCTGTTTTGTATCGGAAGAATCACACTCGCACAGAACATAAAATATCAGAATAACGTTAATGTGTTTTGTATGGTAAGTGATGAAGAGTTATTAAATCTTAAGTTTTGGTCACACACAGCGAATATTCGCTGCCAATAATACTCGCATGGTCACACACAGCGAATTATACACTAGAATTAACTTATATTTAGATTATTTTAGCAGTACCTTATGCCCAGGTTATTATTGCAGTAGTTAAATTTAGATTGATAATTAATATTTATAATGTAGAAGTTACCTAGTCAGTTATCCTGTCTTCTGATGTTATAGGTTTTCATTAGTGCCGACAAAATACAATATATAACAAGAACTCTGTGATTTTCCAAATGTCTAATTAGTAATAACGTGGTTTATAACATAACTATTCAATAACAATGTGTATTGGCTGTGAAAGAAAATTCACTGTTCCAAATCATTCCGTCATAAATCTGCTATATAACTTTTTATTGTTCTCATTGTTTCGTGCGTCATAAGTATTCTCGACACCCATCTTGCCTGCGCACCTATGACATGCCAGGAACTCCAATTATTTCTGCAAGATGTGTATTTGATCAGGCACCTTCCCTTACTATTTTTTTATTTTTCACATTTTCCACAATAATTGCTTTGACAGGCTGTCCTACCATGGGATCGCCTTCAAACGAGTTTATTTCTTGCTTAGAGAGGTTGTGTCATTTATAATTTACGGTTTTTTCAGGGCGGGAGTCCCTGGTAAACTAGAACAGCTCTAGGCTCTAGGACAGCTTCTACCAACTTATTTACCTCCCCATGTTTATATTATGTTCTTTTAAAATTGTACTATTATTAATCCAAAAGGTTTAAAGTAATAATGAAAGTGTTTGCAAATGTTGTTGTGCATATGTTTATGTGTACAAATATTATATTGCTGTAGGTACTATTTGGATGGCGTGGTCCACTCCTGACGGAAGAGACTGCAATGAAAGATCTTACTGCGTGTGCGGTTTTATTACGATATCTATGCGATACTGCTGCGGCACCGTTGCAGCGTTGTCTCGTCGAACGAGAAGACGCTCTTGCTGGCGATGTAAGTGTATTACCGTGAAACCTGGCAACTTTGCCATTTTTGGAAGGACTTAAAAGTTTAGGACCAATTTTCCAACAAAAAATGTACTGGCACACTGGGCGTCAATGTTAAATGTAACATTATATTCTTCGTAGATTTGGTATTTATTAGTGATTAAAACAAATAATAACATTAAATAGACAAAAAACTACTAAAATGGTAAAGTTAACCTCACTTTGTAGCAACTTTGCCATCGGGGTTTATAATGAAAATAATAGGATTTGACTTCAAGGCTGACGGCAAGTTTACCTCATAATATAATACACAATACTCAGAGTTATGACTTGCTCCTTTTACTTGTGTTGTAAATAGCAAAGTTTACTCTTGTGGCAAAGTTGCCCTCTCATTTTTCAATATTTCATACAAACTTGAAGAAATGTGTCAGGGTTGTCAAAATCTTAATTACGTACTTTACTTAAATTTTTTATTTCAATATTTCCACAACAATTTTTAGGAGGTATACGTTTTTTTTAATTACATTCTCAATAATTATAAATAAATAAACGTAAGAATAATTATGAATAACTTTCTTTGCTGGAGTCATCGTCACTATCAAGAAATTCAACTTTTCACCTTTTCGTCGGCTTTATGCTTTTATTAGACAATTTCCGCTTCTCTGATTGAGTATTATTATTATTAAGTCTAGATGTGCTCGCCACAGAGTTTTCATATAGATCAAAACCTTCTTCACCTATTGCAATACCAGTTTACGATTTTTGACAAATGTCAAAATTTAAATACATTCTGTTTAATGTTATTGGACCATATTGTGACAAGTCAAAATATTTTTGGTTCTTTAGTGTATTTTTAACGTCAGATAATATAGTTACTACTTTGGCGACCCATTTTCCTAAAGTGATATCATTTTATTAAGATCAGGATTTTTGTTGTAAACAACCTAAATTTTGATTTCCAACAATAGCAAAACTAGTTAAGTTAAGGTATAAGTAAGCGTTTGTACGTGGTAGAGCCATGTTGCAGCTATATTAGTAGTATAGATGTAGCACGAATGGGTCGGCTCGTCCGGGAAAGGACCACGCTCTCACAGAATACCAGCGTCAAATAGCAGCTCAACACTGCTGTGTTTCGTATGGTGAGTGTAGAGAACCGGAGACCCTTTTTACTGGAAAAGAGGCATTCCATCTTAGATCTCACGGGTGACAACGCATCTGCATTTCATTCGCAAACGAGGATAGATGAGCCACAGCAACTACTTACCATCAGGTGGACTGTGTGCTCGTTTGTCACCCTATCCTATAAAAAGAAAAAGTTATTTAAATGACACTGTTCTTTGGGTGCAAATTATACTTATATTAACGCAGTAAAATAATATAGATCTCTCTTTTCTTTTCTTTTTCTTTTAATAAAAATGAATCGAATAAATGTCAATCGGTTCATTTTTATTAAAAATAAAATCGGTCCAATAGTCTGCATCGTGAAACATCTATAGAAACATACATACATAGATTGATAATTTGAATCGCCATAGTCGGGTCAAAATATAAACTAAGTGACAACCCTTGGTTGTAGTAAAACATGGCAAAGTAACCGTCACATCGTGAAATCACTAGTATGGTAACTTTGCCAAGTTAGCTTTATAGACAAATATTAAGACTACTATTGTAAAAACGAAATATTACATTTCCTAACTATCAATATTACGTTATTACAAAGATATAGGTACGTACATTCAGTATTTCAACTAAAATCGACAAAAGTTCTGGAGCACTGAAAAAGGTGTTTAAGTCGCCGGCACAATTTCGCGGTAAAATAAAATGTCAAAATTTACTCTTATATTGCCATATTGAAAATAATGCTGTTAATTAGTTATTAAATTTTCGTACAAAAAATGACTAATCTTAAAAAACGTTACGTTTTCCGTGTTAATCGTAATTTTGTACCATTACACCACTTATGGCAAAGTTACCTTCCATTGGTAAAGTTGCCAGACTTGACTGTAGTTGAAAAGCCATCAATTTACTATAACATTACCTATACATTGTTATCAATACGAGATATAAGAAATAATAATAATTATTATTATGTAATGAAAAAATATTTCTTTTTGATTTTTCATGTACCTGTTACTCATAAGTTTCAACATATTAAACATATATAAATCTATCCAAAGGTCTCATACAACTTAACGGAAAACCTAGCGCCCTTAATCAAGATCGAATTAGATAATGTGCCAATAAATAAACTCGAGGCGGCTCGCAACGAAGCTCGGAAATGTTTAGCCGGCGTACGTTCGGGTGAAGAGGCAATTGATATGCAAAGAATGCAAAGGTTACTGCAGAAGCAGCTTCGAGAAAGCATGGCTAGTCTTGAGTCCGATCCCCACCATGCAGTTGCGTTTCGGTGTATTGGGGACTCTTTGTATTCTCAGAATGAAAAAGATGTAAGTACTCTTAAATAATGATAGAATCATTTTACCACATGAATTAGGCATTGTCATATTAATGAACAGTAAATTAACATTAAATTAAAATCTTTTTTTACATGTATTCTTAATTATGTTCTTCATCATAACCCTGTAAATATCCACTGCCGAACATAGGCCTCCCCATTGCAGAGAAGTTACGGCAAGGTAGGCGAATTGACGAACGCAGCATCAGACGTGTCGTAGCTTGACGCTGCTTCCCATTGCCGGGTATTTAAAACCTGGTGTAAACGAGATGGTATACGAATTTCAAAAATTACGAAAGCTGATTAACATCCTTGAAACATTTGTGATTGCATTAAATTGACAATTTGATAATCTTTGGTCTCACGCTAGTAATTTATTGGTATTTATTTTTATTGGTATGGTATTTTAATATGTATTTGTTTTATTATATTCCTACCAGATAGCAGAAGGCATTCCTGCCTTCTGCTATCCGCTATAATTGATTATATATTGATACAATCGATTGATAATTGATTACTATTAATTATACGAAAATATGTACAGTATAATAATAGTAGTGAAATAAATAACCAAAGATGCGCAGTTTTTAATTTTTTACGTATCAAAAGTGTCACTAGAAAACTGATTGAGACAGAACAGTTTTATTAATACAAGTTATAATATTCCGATCAACAGTTTGTTTCACGGATGAACCCTCAACAAGTGTTGCATGAACTTTTGGAAGAATCTTCAGAGTACTGGGTGGGGCTTTTAAAAAAGTACCTAACTGAAGACTCTGTCACCATTGTAGGCTCGCCGAGCATCGAGTTACAAGCTAAGTTAGTACGCACACACATTTAAGCTCATACACGAACGTACTGAATACACACAATAATATACACCTGCACTTAGCACGTTCATATGCTCACAAGCGTGCATATACGTGCTAAATCACGTGCACGTGCAGAGATTACTTACACTAACCTATTTACCTTCTCCAACCTCAGACAAACAAAGAAAGATAGACGAAGCGTTGCGTATATTTCAAGTGACGCTAAAACCATACTCAACTTCTTCTCTCACGCATTCTTATTTATTTCTTCGTTCTTTCTGTAATAGCCCTTAATAGTGCACTGCCAGACGCACACATATGCGTCTAAAACCATTTTATTAGTTGCAAATGATTTTAGATACATATGTGTGCGTGAGTGCACGTTCTTATATATGGTATTGGCTCTATTTCGGCTTACGTGAAATATACGTAGCCCTCTTTCTATCTTTGTTAGTCCTAAGGCTCTAACATATATTAAAGTTAATTTTTTATGTTAGCGACTTTTTATAAATTAAAATTTCACTCGCAAAGTCATGCCGACTTTTGTCACTGTTATAATATTATATTCTCATTAGACATGTATTTAGAGGAACATGAAAAAGGTTGAAATATATTTACGGTGTTTTTCATGATGAATTGATATTTAACCTTCTTTCAGAAATACTCGTATATTTATAGAAAGAAAATGACAAATAAGCCAAAGTCCATCTGTTGGTAAGTAGGCACTGCAGTCATTGCCTCCCACAACCATCTTCAAACAAAGAGGGCACAGGTTTTATTGTTGCAAAGATAATCCATAAATAACTCACTTTCATCGAAGTTTCTTGTAAACACAAACTTCGATCGATATTTCTATCTAAATCTAAAATATAGCTAAAACTATGTGTTAGTGGTTTAATTTCACGGTTTTATTAAAATCATAAACAAAATCGGCATAACCCTCTCTCGAATCCGACCCATAGTCTGAGTATTTATAATCATATTTTGTGTCCTGTAACTGTACAACTCTGCCACGGAATTATGACCAGTGACCCCGCACATAGATAATAGGTATTACTATTACTGCTGATCTATTTATGGTTTTAAGACGAAAAACTGTATCATCAGTCAGTTCTTAAATCATATATTAAAGTCTCTCAAGTTGTATCACGTGGGGCGACCCTTACACATTTAATTACTTTTTTACATCACTGCGGACAACTTTTCACCGGCTACTTTGAGAATACACAATAATAATTTTTGACTTTCAAATTAACTACTAAAACAATGTGCATGTGCACTTATACTACAAGTAAGGCCAACCCGCAGTCATGAGATAAAAATAATCTAATAAATGTATTGTAACATCTATTTACTGAGATGTACATATGATGATCTAAACATAGACATTAAGTGAATTAAATATGATTATTTTTAAAGTACCATATAATTTTAATGTAATGGTTTAATTTGTAAATTTATTTCATGTCTGTTTTGTTTAGAATGGCAGAAGAAGAAAAGAAAAGGATAGAAGCACAGAGGGAACAACTGGGCGAAACTGGACTAGTCGAAAAAGGCAAGCAACTTGAAGAAGCTATGGAATACAATGAGGTATTTATCCATCTATCCATCCATTACTGTCTATAAAAGTCCACTGCTGAAAATCAACATAGGCCTCCCCAAATTGCCTCACAGAGATTGTTTAGGCCAAATCGTAACACTTAAAACTTGCATTCCAACGCTCGTCTCTGCGATTAACCGGTTTGACGGCTTGGGCCGGCGGGACTCGTTTCGCGGCGGTGGCCGGGCCGATTAGTCTGGAACAATCAATCGTCCGCGACGGCTGTGCCGGGAAGTTACGTGAGAAACGTTAGTTCGCGTTAAGACCGCCTCCTTTGCGTTGTCTTATTTTGTTCGTATACGTGACAAGAGGTTTTCCTTGAGTTTTGAGTGATTAATTTGACTTCGATTGCAATTAATTAATTTGCGTCGACGAGTTGTTGTTTGTGTGGTATTTTAAGATCGTACGAAGGAATTTTGCTTAGTCGGGTGTAACGCTAAAACTTTGTGACTCGAGTAGAGATCGCGTGTGCTCGATTATAATTTTGTGCTAAGTGAACATGGGACATTGAACTTTGACCGACAGTTCTTAAGTTGGGCAGTGTGTTACTTGTTTTGAGTTCGATTAACGTCGATTTAGTTAAATTTGAAGTTAATTAAATGTACAGTAAAGTTGATAAACTAATATAGTGAAATAAAAGCAGAAGGTTTCAATTGGGGAACGCCCACTGGAGGGATCGCACATTGTGGAGAAAAGCAGCGCCTGTGGCTTTGCTGTCCGATTACATCGGTGACGTCAGGTTACATTTATACACACTTTCGCACACTACTTACATACACCTTACTTACCACCTGACTGCGCATTGTGGTCGACACTACCTCCGGAACTCGGTAAGTTTGTGTTTGCTTATCAGCCATTAAATACTAATTATCCATAGGCCACTTGGGCGCGAACCCTCTGGTTGGTCGTCGAGTGTATTACTCATGGGCCTTAATACAGTCGACTTCTGTCGGGCAACTGAGGGCCGTAACAGAGATATTCTGCCATTGTTGCCACGCTTGGCACTTAGGTTGGCAACCGCAGTTTTTTTTAAATCATTTTATGCTGTTATCTGGAAGATGCTGCTGCCCATTTCCAGTTTCAGTTTTCCAAGGGACGATACGAGGTAATGGATGATCTTAAACTGCCACGGTCATCAATAAGGTATATATATCGTAGAACTACTAGTCCACTTTAACGTTGCAACACACAGCGACGAGCTAAGGCAAAAAAAGCTAAGACAGTAAATAGAGAATGCGTCTACTCTACAACACAGAAAATTTACGCATACTAAATAATAATTGCTTTGCGTTGCGATTGGGAAATAACGGTCACGTGTTCTATACCTTTGAATTAATATGTACTTACGTACAAGAACAGCTATTTCAAACAAAAAAAAAATATATATATTGATATAACATAATTTACAAATATATTTATTTACACTCCAGAGTTAAAAATGCATTTTTCCCTGTTTTCATGGCTTGGACTGGAAACCTAAAAATAAAATAAAAGAATAATCGGCAAATTTAAATATCAGAAATTTAGCCTGATTATGAATACTTACATTTGTTTCTACAAAAAAAAAATTATATTATACACAATTATTCTCACATTTAAGTACCTACAGAAACGTTGCATCTGAACAAATTAATTTCATAACCTATATTTCAATACCTATATTATTAATCTATAATCCTTTTTTATTAAGTATTTTACTCACTGATGAAAAGTTATTCCTTGGTATTTGCTAACATTTGAATTATTTGTGCATTGTCTAAAACACACCATGGCATATTTTATCAAGATTTTTTTTATATAATCAACACAGCATGTGTCAACTCACTAGCGCCTAGCGAGCGACTGAGTAAAGTGCGGCGATATCACCGCAGTTGAATGGAACAGCGTCAATTAATCCAGTGTTTTCTCTAGTACGTAGTACACAATAGCTCAATGGTCTATACGGACTCCGTTGATAGCCATGTGTACCTTGTGCATATGCTTCGTATTCACAATGGACAATTGGTTTTGCGCGCGATAACTTATCCAGTATAAATCCTATTTTATTTCTTACTTCATCACCTAAAATCGACAGTCATTTTGAGTACGGCTCTTATGTTATAATATATTAAATACTTTATTTCCATATGCCTTCTATAAATATATAATTGCACTTTATTGTTGACAAATTACACATTGAAGCATATTTAGAACTTTGTATAAAAATATTTTATTTTCTTTATTTCAGCGTCCCCCACCTGCAGGAATGTTAACTTCTGTTCCAGTGCCATCATGTGAAAATCTGAAATGTCATAAAATCTCCACATGGAGCACTGACGGAGAACCCTGCCCATACTTTGATCTTAAGGAACTGCCGCTATACACCAGAGTCCACAGTCTTAAAACTAACTTTGTTTATGTATGTATTCTTCTGATATAATTAACATATATTTTTGTGTACAAAATAAATAAGATGGTGGCGCTGTCGTTGCGCCACAAGCGAAACAAATCGAACCCTAAATCGCGCTAACAAAGTTCCGAAGTTAAAGCAGTATATATAGAATAGCTCCGAACTACAACTCGGAGCGTTGGCCGCTCCCCGGGCAGAACATCTTGCCCGGCGGGAGATTTCCTCTTTTCCTCCCACCCACCACAATAAGAAAACTTTTATCGCAACCCAATAGTAAAAAAGTGTCATAAACGACAGTAGTTCTTTTATATAAGTTATAAACAATATGTAAAAAATTCTTGTCCAATCCGTAACAGTGCTTTTAGGTATCGTGATATGATTCTGGTCATGTAATCCTTTTCAGTAAATAAGTAAAAAATGCCCAGTAAAAATAAAATTTAATTAAATAGGGGAACTTGCATGTTTGTGGGGTAACAATATCTAGAGGTCACTTTTCGAGCTCTGTTGACCCCAAAGTTCACTTTATCAGTTTATCTTTTGTTTGTTGTTTAACATTGATTGAAAAAAAAAATGCAAATACTGCATAGTTGCAGTCACTTTTAAGCAAATTGTAGTAGAAATTATTTTAGGTAAAAATAACATTTTTATATTCAATAATATTATGGTGTTTTTTTTTTGGTAATGCCATTGCGGTACCTATGTGCCTCCTTCGGATATGATACAAACAAGGTGTATTTAGATATTGTATTTGTAATTGTTATTTGTCTGTGGTACTGCAGTGCGTCGGTTTAATTCCTGCACTGAACACGTATTTGAATGGTCTTCAAATAATTGTTTTTTATGTATTGTCCATAATGAATGTTTTCTAGAAATTAAGAGTTGTAATTATTTCTTTTAGATAAATCTGATCCTAGACACGTCGAACGTAGACCAGAACACACGTAAATGGCTAACACTTCATTTGAACGGGCTAGCGGAATGTCCGGTGCGTCGCGGGGACACCCTCGTGCCGCACGAGGAAGTCATCTCGACCACGGAACAACTTACGGTCATGTTCAGCAATAATATCGGCTTCGATCGCCCCGGAAACTTCGCCGTTGGACAATTCGGCAATTTTGTACACATAGAAACCAGGGTTTGTATTGTTTTCAATATATATTATTTTTTAATTCGTCATCATTATCAGTACAGCCCTTCACAAGTCCACTGCTGAACATAGGCCTCTCCCAAGGAACGCGATAAAGCACGGCGGTCCTTAGCTAACTGCATCGACTTCCTGCATGTCACTAGGTAGTCACTCCGTCTACTTCGCCCTACAGTTCGTCTACCAGTTCGAGCCTGCCACTCGAGAATCTTTCTACCGCATCGGTTATCGATTCTTCGAGCTATATGGTCGGTCCATTGCGCCACTTCAGCTTACTAATCTGTTGGGCTATGTCGGTCACTCTGGTTCTACTGCAGGTATCAAGTTTATCATGCAGAGAATCCCGAGCATAGCCCACTCCATAGCTCACTGATCTTGAGCTTCCTCATTTGTTTTAATTGCTACCATATATTGCTATGTGCTGTATATAAATTATAATATTCTATTAATTCTACTTCTTCCTGTGCTTCCGTTGCATTATCACTACATCCATTGCAAATTCACTGCTGAACATTTGCCTATAGATGCCTCCTAGGGGGCGATATTTGCCATAGTTTTCACGCTTGGCAGGCGCGTTGTCAACTGCTGTTTTTTTATTATTTTGTGTTGTTATCAGGAAAATGCTGCTTAGCTCTTATTCACCAGCCCCTAAAAGTCCATTGGTGAATATGCGCGTCTCCCTTTAAGTTTTAACCTTAATCTCCATGCAAACGGATTGGCGATCGCAGATCCAGACGCATCGCACCTTTGACATTGCTCCTCGGTATTTTACGTCTGAAGTAAACAAGATAGTTATACCGCCAGCTGTAAAAGTCCATCCCATAGTCACCTCTTACGACACCGCGGGGCGAAGTCGTGTGACAGATTCTCAACAAATTTGCATTACATCATCCCTGATGTATGTATAATAACGCTCACAAATATCAGTTCAAACTGTATAATCCTATAATTATTAAAATTAAATCCAACACAAGCGTATCCCTGAAATATTTCAAGATACTATAAGTTATTTCTGCGTAAATCGGACCAAAAATTAATAATTTTAAACTGAAGGTAGACATAGTATAATTTAAACTGAAGGTAAACATAGTTATACAGGATCTCCCAGTAATGGTGGATAATCTGGTACGTACGTTTTCGGACGGAGGGGAGGTGGCCTCGGTTCCCTAAAAAAATTCTACCCCGAACGGTTCGCGCTCTACTCCACGTTTTATAAAATTCCGAAAATTCGTAGTTCTGCTCATATTTGTGGTCATCACGTCCGCAATTTAATGCCTAGATCGGATTTTTTTCTTTTAACCCTTTCGCTGTCCCGTGCACTGTATATGACATTGGGACGTCGAACACCTTAGTCGCCACATGAACATGGGTGCTCTAAAGTAGTTGGGATTATAAAATAAGCTAATAAACGCTATAAAATCCGTAAAAACTACATTTATTCAAATGGTAAACTACTTAATAAGATAACCTAATGATTAACTACTTATAAAATTGCCTATTGAGTTCTAATATTTACTATATAAAGATAGCTGCTCGGAACTCTATTTATTGGCTTTTCATTGTAATGATGTCTTAAATGATTTTTTATTCATTTTAAAATTCCTAACTAGTTTGTATTACTTTTATATTAGTGTATGATTATTTTAAATATTGTGGTAAATAAATATTGTGTTTATTGCAGTGTGAACCGTCGGATTACATAGAAGTTGTGAATCATTTGTACGAAGTTCTGTACTGTTCTGAACTCACGAAAGAACGGCTGCTAGTGTTTGCTCAAAGGTTAATCAATGACGTAGCGCAGGTAATAAACTAATTATTTCATTTTATAAATTAATATTATACAGAAACTTTCTTAAAGTTTGAATGGTTTTGCAAAACCTAATTTTGAATAAATTTATTTTGACTTTGATCTGGATGGATTTTCTTACTAAAATACTTAACCGCAAGTTTGAAGGAAAAAATTACATTAATTACAGGTACGCCGAAATGGTCACAAAATGGTATACGACACGCTCCGCGACACCTTCTACTCCAAAGACAGTAACGTTCATTGGAGTTTCGTTCTACGACAGCAAAAGTTCCTTAAAGACCTCATTGAACAATTAAACGCGGGTGGAGATTCAGCCGAGGCCGCGCTTGCTGAGGCTAAACAAACCTTTAAAAACATTGTAGGCAATGTTTGGTTGCATTTGGCGACAGACTTTGAGAGATACAAACTGAGCACAGAACCTTGGAAGCAGTTTGCTAGGGAAAATGAGATAACACCTCTTCAGTAAGTATCTATAAGTAATCTTTTTACACACTTTTAATTATCACCTGTATGTATGTTTGTAATGATTTTTTTTTAATTTAGCATTTACCCACGTCCAGATAATGAAACATTTTCAATTCATCTTTCGCCCACTACCAGATAATGCAACTTCGAAATTATGATATTTTTTAATGCAGCTTTTAATGTTTTTTTTTTTATTAAGTCTGAAATTTTGTAAACATTAAGAACAGACTACAATAGGATTGTTTGATCACGTAATATATGTAAAAAGCAAAAGATAGATTATAATTTTATGACTATAATGTAGTATTCTCACAAGGATTTTCACAGATCATAATCAATGCAGTGTGTTGTTTTAGTTTATTATCTAATTTAATTTTTGTTACTTGTTTTATATATTAAATTAAGGATCGTAGCAAGTGGAAAGAACTGGTCTCTGCCTACCCCTACGGGAAAGAGGCGTGATTATATTTATGTATATATGTATATATTACTGTTATATTATATTATACAGGGTTATTTTGCAATAACCGGCCAAATTTACAGAGAAGGTTCAGAATAAGTAATATTCAGAATAAACAATGAATGGTGAAGAAAAATTTATGAAAAAAAAATCGCAAATATTCTGTCCTTTTTATCTTTTAAATTCAAAATGCGTGGTAATGCACTATTTTAACTGTTGTCGGAGAACATAAGGGTCGATCGGTATGCAAAAACGTTGTTGCCCAAAAATCACATTCAATTTAGGATAATTTCAAATAAAAGTTAGAAGCCTTATTTACTCGTATTTTCAAAAACTGCAATAACGGTTTATCATTATTTATGTATTTGAAGTTAAGTTTGAAATTTGGCTACTCTTTGAAAAATAACCCTGTATATTATTGTTAACCCTTTCGCTGCCCGTGCATTACATATAGGTTATTGCTATTGTCTCACTATTGTGTTTTAAAACCGGACAGTGAACGTGTTATAGTGACAGTTTATCTAGCAGTCCACTTGAAGGTAAGTAAGTAGCTATTGCAGCCTATGGATTTCTTGTACAACCTTTTCTTTATTTATATATTTTAAGCTGGTGCCAGATATAGCAAAAATATTTGAACACTTAGTTGAAGGACTTTGAACACTTATTGTCGCAACCTGCCAGACAATCAAGATGGACGATGATTTTGTGGATGCAGTGTGCCTGTATTATCCTGTGTCATTATTTATCACATGTGCAAAAATAACAAAACAAAATACAATATAATATGTAAATACAAGATTATTTATGTCATTCACAATTACTAGTCTGTCATCTTTATCCAAGGGTTTTATCAGATAAAAGCTGACCATAAAAATCACATTCATTCGATTGTTTTTTACTGTATTTATGATTGGACCTATTTTTAAAAAGTACTCCGCACGACCGTCCCGCTCAACAACCACGGAAGCGACTGAACTTTGCGGAAGTGTGGCACGCTACGCGAACATTTGAAAACTGCCGACATTGAACATTGATTCGAAGTCCCGTGCTGTATCTGGCGCCGACTTTAAAGAATACCTATACTTTAGAATAAGGGTGACGTACGAGTCCACCTGTTGATAAGTGAATGCTGTGAAAGTCCATAGACTGAATCTGGTTTTCCATTCGCCTTGGTGCAGTCCTGCAGTTATTTCACATTGCTGAAACGCTAACGCAGTTATCGGTCGTAAGATTCATCGTCGTATTCGGTTGTAAGATGCGCCACTGGCAGCAACATTCCTAGTTTTTGTAAAAAAGAATATCAACATTAATGAGAAGAATTACCGACAGTAAAAAAAGTAAAACGTAGTTCTCTTTTGAGTCAAGAGCACTAACCGTCCAAGACCTGAAAAGACTGGTCCAGCTCACAGGGCCTAAGTGTTCACCTGTACCACTGTAATACAAAATAATAGAATTGGGCATTACTCTGCGGAAATTTATTCAAGGTGAACGCATATTTATCAGCACAGTACCAGGCCTCTGTCAATCTTACTACCTGCGTGATATAATTACCTAAAATCGCGCGGGGCCTCAGGTTACATATACGCAGTCGGGGCTAGCACGTTCTAGACGAGTGAATTTTAAAGTTTTTTAACACTATTTATGTAAATAGTTTTTTATACATACTTGTTGACAAAGGTTTAATGTAATTTAAAAAAATATTTTTATATTACCTATTTATTTGATTAATTATAATGGCAAAACGTCATAATGTACGTAATGAGCAAACTAAAGGAGATTCAGATTTATCATTTTTAAGTTACTGAAGGATAACGAAAAGTGAATTTATTTGATTATTTTCTGTTAGATACTTAAAATTATTAAGTACTGATGTAAGTATCAGGTAGGTAAGTAGGTATAGTCAACCACGGAATTGTACGCAAGGTGTACAAATCTAAATAGACTACCCAGGTCTTTTCGTAGCGAAAAAAGAATTAAGTAATAATTACAATACAGAAATACCTAATTACAGAACTTAGTTAAAATTTACTTCTTACTAAAAGAGTAAACTTTCTAAGAGAAGTACTTACTTACATATCTATACTTGTCTTTTCTAATTAAATTGTTTTAAATTATAATTACGCAAAATACTGATATTAAAACTTTGTTTAGAAGATTTTTATCTAAGTAGAATACAATCAAATTGCTGTTAGGAATCTTATTTCGGGTTTATTTGTTCTTTACACTACCTACCTATTTCTTCCGAGCCAAGCATTCAAGTGTTGAGCATCACAGAACTCACATAGTAGCAAAAATATGGTCAGCCGATCATATTCAGAATATGTACCTTACCTAAGTAACTTACCATGTTTTTTTTTTACTCTTTATTGACAGTCCTTAGTAACTACGAAGGGGAAAAGATGCAAAGTAATTCAGACACTCGCGTGCAGTGATAAAGTTTTATTTAGCTTGCGTGCGCGATTTATCTAATTAATAATAATTATGTAGGCTATTAAAATGTTAGCCGTGGCGGTCAAGAATATCCACTACCCCATATCTTCCTGTGGGTGTCGTAAAAGGCGACAAAGGGAAACAGGCAGGAGATGGGCAGCAGCATCTTCCTGATAGTAGCCGAAATTACAATAAAAAAACTGCGGTTGCCAACCCGCTCGCCAAGCGTGGCAACTATGGCAAATAACCCCCTATGAAGAGAGTAACAAAGAGACGGCCCCCAGTCCCCGGCGGACCCGCTATTCCTGGCTACGGTGGCGACCATGGTAACGGCGGGGCAGGGGGTGCTAAGAATCTCCGGTGGAGGTTCGGTTGCCACCTTAGACGTCTCGACCTGGCAACGTACAACGCACGCACCCTGAGGACTGACGAGAAGATCGTGGAGCTGGAAGAAGAGATTATTATATTATTAGACAAGTTACGCTGGCATATTACGAGTATAGGATTATCCGAAGTCCGAAGAGAGTGGGAGGACATGGTAATCCTCGAATCCGGCAACTTGCTCTATCACCGGGAGGGCGATCATCTGTCCCTAGGAGGTGTCTGATTTATCGTCCACAAGTCTCTCGTTAACAACGTTGTAAAGATCGAGAGTGTGTCGACGAGGGTTGCGTACCTTATACTCGGAATCACCAAACGGTATTCGCTGAAGGTCATACAGGTTTACGCACCAACCTCGGCACTCCCCGATGAGGAGGTGGAGGAAATGTATGAGGATATCTCTAGAGCCATGCATTCCTCCAAAACCCAATATACGGTGTTAATGGGAGACTTCAATGCAAAACTAGGCACAAGAGAGACCGGTGAGCTGAAAGTAGGGAAACAGCAGCTGGCCGACTTCATGGAGAAAGAGGGACTTTTTATGATGAACTCTTTCTTCCAGAAGCGGCCCCACAGGAAGTGGACCTGGTCGAGCCCCGACGGTTCAACAAAAAATGAGATTGACTTCATTATGACGACCAGACGACAACTGTTCAGTGGTGTCTCCGTGATCGCGAGGGTGAAAACTGGTAGCGATCACCGAATGGTTAGAGGCACACTGAACCTAAACGTTAAGTTGGAGAGGTCTCGTCTAATGAAGTCAACGCTCCGTCCCCCTCGTGCTCTGTTCCAAAGTCCTGATACCTTTCAGCTCGAGTTACAAAACCGTTTTCAGTGCCTAGAAAACTGCAATGAAGTGGACGATATGAATGACAAGCTCGTGGAAACTGTCCATTCGGTCGGAGCTAAGTTCTGCAAGACCCGTCGCAGAAGAACACAAAAACTCTCCGATCACATTCTTAATCTCATGGCTGTTAGACGGGAGATGAAGCTACATTTTTTAACAGATTTGACAGCATACAGGCAACTGAACAGACAGATCTCCAAATGCATGCGGCGGGACTTACGCAACTTCAATACAGCTTGTATTGAAGAAGCGATCGAGCGGAACCAAGGCTCCAAAGTCTTTGCCCGAGATCCGTCTGCCAGAAAGAGCCAACTGTCAAAGCTGAAGACAGAATGTGGCAGCATCGTTTCCGGGGCACCTGAGATTTTGAGTGAGATTGAGAGGTTCTATGGGCAGCTGTACACGTCATCGTAGGAGCCACACGCGAGTGTGAGTAACGATCCAAGAGCGAGTCTTATCCGACACTATTCCGAAGATATCCCGGACGTCAGTCTGAGCGAGATTAGAATGGCTCTCCAGCATCTTGAAAACGGCAATGCTCCAGGCGAGGATGGAATTACAGCGGAGCTTCTGAAAGCGGGTGGAAAACCGGTACTTTAAGTCCTTCAGAGGTTCTTTAATTCCGTCCTCCATGGTGGCATTACACCGGAGGCGTGGAGAAGAGGTGCGGTAGTCTTTTTCTTCAAGAAAGGTGACAACGCTCTCTTGAAGAACTACAGACCGATTTCCCTTCCGAGCCGCGTCTACGTGCTGTTTTCGAGAGTCATTACGAATAGTCTCGCGCGCAGACTTGACGACTTCCAGCCTCCCGAACAAGCCGGTTTCCGAAAGGGCTTTAGCACCATAGACCACATACGTACCCTTCGACAAGTTGTACAGAAGTCCGAGGGGTACAATTTGCCACTATGCCTGGCGTATGTGGACTATGAGAAAGCCTTTGATTCCGTCGAAATTTGGGCGGTGCTGCAGTCCCTTCAGCGGTGCCAAGTTGACTGTCGGTATATCGAAGTGTTGAAGTGCTTGTACAGTAGGGCTACGATGGCTATCCGAGTACAGAACCAGAGTACGATTCCTATCCAATTGCAGAGAGGTGTAAGACAGGGTGACGTTATATCCCCGAAACTCTTCACCGCTGCATTGGAAGACGTTTTCAAGCTTCTGGACTGGAAAGGATACGGGATTAACATCAATGGCGAGTACATCACTCACCTTCGATTTGCCGACGATATAGTCCTTATGGCAGAAACGCTGGAGGATCTAAGCACCATGCTCAATGACCTCAATAGTGTCTCCCAACGGATAGGTCTTAAAATGAACATGGACAAAACAAAGATCATGTTTAATGTCCATGTCACACCTATGCCGGTAGTTGTTGGGAGCACTAAGCTCGAAGTTGTTGACGAGTATGTTTACCTGGGACAAATAGTCCGACTAGGTAAGTCCAACTTCGACCGAGAGGTCAATCGACGGATTCATTCGGCTGGGCAGCGTTCGGGAAACTACGGCACATCGTCTCGTCAGACATACCTCTAAACCTTAAAACGAAATTGTACAACCAGTGCGTGTTGCCAGTGATGACTTACGGATCTGAGACGTGGTTCTTCACTGCTGGCCGTATGAGGAAGCTCAAGGTCGCTCGGCGAGCTATGGAGTTTCTCTGCGTGATAAACTTAGAAATGAGGATATCCGCAGTAGAACCAGAGTGACCGACATAGCCCAACGGATTAGTAAGCTGAAGTGGCAGTGGGCCGGCCATATAGCTCGAAGAACCGACAACCGATGAGGAAGAAAGGTTCTTGAGTGGCAGCCTCGTACCGGTAGGCGAAGTGTAGGGCGACCCCCCACGAGATGGAGTGACGACCTGGTAAGACATGCAGGAAGTCGATGGATGCAGGTGGCTCAGGACCGTGCTTTGTGGCATTCCTTGGGGGAGGCCTATGTTCAGCAGTGTACTTATGAAAGGCTGTAATGATGATGATGAATGATTATTAAAACGTTTGCAAGCAGTCAACATCAAAGGAGTGCAACTTCTAAACGTAGTACTATTATTTATTCTATGACCGTACGCACAGCACGCGCCGTACACGTCGCATTTTAGAATTCGTTGTATGAAATCATATGAAATCTCGCACATTTTACGCACACCGTACGCGCAGTATTTTATAAAATGCAGTAGGTATCCTAATATTGAAGGGGGCATGCTGATGACATCATATAATGCGGCGCGTTCGGCGCGTGCTGATACTCAGTGTTGCCTAATATTGCCACCTTAGTGGATTTTCCACAAAAACTGGTGCTTTCTATTCCACTTCTTGTGGAGAAATATAGCTTTTAGTAGCTGGAGTTTTTTCGACTGGTTCAGTAAAATTAAGTTTCAATTAGGGACAAGATGATCTCTCGACCTTTAAGCCAGTTACACGTTTCGAAATATATTTTTACTTTATTTCAAGAGAACAACGATTCGTCAGACAAGACACGCCATTTTATATGAATTTTATGAATCCAGAATCTTCTTTTTCTTCGAATTTTATTTTCTTTCTCCGCTAATAAACAAACTATTACAACATTGTTTCCATAGCTTAATCAATGTCACTACCGTTTCACATCAGTGGTTAGAACAGAAGTTGTCGGCAATACTAAAGATTTGCGTATGGGTAATATGCGGGGCCATCAGTAAATTCGGCGCGTACGGCGCGTGCTGCGCATACGGTGCCAATAAATGTGCGTTTGTTTTAAGTTAATTACATTGTTAAGATCCACGTGAAAAATAAAAGAAGCTAATTCTTAACGATTAGCCAACATAGAGTTTATTTACCATGATGGTGCCTCGTTGGTCGCCTTATTTGAGTCCGACGGATTACATTTATAGTCTGTCTTAGAGATAACGTCCTTGAAATTGGTGTGCATTGTATGATTGATCTAATTTTAATCTATTGCATGTTTTTAAAGGCCAAAATTATATTGGGACGCGGAGCTGATGTCGGACTGTGGCGGCGGATTTGTGGTGGGCGTAGGCGGTGTAGAGTCGTCGTACCTAGCGCAGCTCAGCCCCGGCCCGCTGGGGCACGAGCTGGCCGACATTGCGCCGCTGCTCGTCGTGCTCAACTATTTCACGCAGCTCGAGGTAGGTGCCGTGAACAGTGTGAATGGTATAAGTAACGTGAGTATAAACTGAAGCATTTTATTTTAAAAAATTGCAGCATTTACAGCTGTACGCTTGTGGAAGTCCTCATGTTTTTTTACTAAATTGTTTCATTTATGTACCTTCCCTTTTCACCATTCTTTGTAAACTACAGCTATATGTGTAATAAAGTTGTCTAGAAGAAATTCCTTCGTGAGCAATGAGACCGTTGTTGTACTTTTTTATAATTTATTTTAATGGGTATTAGTGTACAATAAAGAATAGTGCTCGCCTATAAAACACAGATATCTAACAAAATTAAGTAAAATCAATGCTTTTTGTCTTTGACATACACACAGTATTCAAAAATTTTAAAATAACACAAAATTCACAATGTATTCAGTCAATCTGTTACTTACAGATTGACTGAATACATTGTGAATTTTGTAAGTTTTTTTAAGTAAGTTTTATTTTATTTAATTAAATGTATTTGTAACACATCTTTATATATAAAGGGGGTAAAAGTTTTCTTTTCACGTATATACGACGTATTTATATATTGATCATATGTATATATATTGATTGATTATGTTTGGGCGCAGGGCCCGATGTGGCGGCTGATCCGCGGCGGCGGGCTGTCGTACGGGTACGGCGTGCGCGCGGCGCCGCACGAGGGCCGCCTCGTGTTCTCGCTCTACCGCGCCACCAACGCGCCGCAAGCTTACACCAAGGCTAAAACCATTGTGGTATTTTTTTTCATTGTTTGTGGCATCGGATACTAAGTTTTCAGCCTACATATTGGTTACAAAGCCTCTCGCATTTGTAAGAATTCTTCATAGCTGGCCATGTTTCAAGGCGCATACACTTGCAAATAACTTAAGATTTATCTTTGAAACACTTATAGCATCGTTTCCACCAATAGTTCATATTATGCGCATTTAATAGACAAAATCCACACCACTTTTATTTATTAAAATCCACTTAATCATTATTTAAACAATAATACAAGTGCAGGAATCCAATTCAATACATTGTGTTAGAGCCATAGCCATAGACACGTGGTAGAGCCATGCTGCAGCTATATTATGGTTGTAACACGAATGGGTCAGCTCGACCGGGGTAGGACCACGCTCTCACAGAAAACCAGCGTAAAATAGCAGCTTAACGCTGCTGTGTTTCGTATAGTGAGTGTAGAGAACCGGAGACCCTTTTTACCGGCAAAGACGCATTCCATCTTAGTCCTCACGGGTGACAACGCATCTGCATCTTGAGTCTTTATTGAGGATAGATGTAGATGTCTATGGGTCACAGTAACCACTTACCATCAGGTGGACTGTGTGTGAAAAAAAAACATTGGCTACCAGCTCTTCGACCAAAAAGAAGTGTCTTTTTGTTTTATACAAATAGGTGTAAAATAATTTACAATATGTTGCAAAAGCATTGCTATTCAAAATATCAAAAACCAAAGGTTTAATATTTAACAATGATTAACATTTAATATTTAAAAATGACTTCCTTTACTGTAATAAAAAATATGTTACAAAAATGTTATGTTATAAAAAATACATCCTACAATAGGCCTCAATTCTGAGTGAGATATTTTGATTCTGGATTCTGATGAGTTAACCATGCTGCTCCAGTGCGTGTTCGTTAACTTACATTTTTTTTATAGGATAGGGTGACAAGCGAGCACACAGTCCACCTGATGGTAAGTGGTTGCTGTGGCACATGGACATCTACATCTATCCTCGTTTGCGAATCTAAATGCAGATGCGTTGTCACCCGTGAGGACTAAGATAGAAAGCCTCTTTTCCAGTAAAAAAGGTCTACGGTTCTCTACACTCACCATAAGAAACACAGCAGAGTTTAGCTGGTATTTTACGCTGGTATTCTGTGAGAGCGTGGTCCTTCCCCGGTCGAGCCGACCCATTCGTGCTACAACTATACTTACTATACAACGTACGAAAACATGTTACTTTATGACCTTTTGCTACGCATAAAATTTCAATTATTAAATGCAAATGATGAAAAGATCGCTGGTGGAGATTAAACTTCCCAACTGTTAGTTACTAAAATTTAAAGATAAATTTTATGTACTACTTTAAGATAAGATAAGATTATTATTTATTGTCACAACTGTATACATGAGGTCTTACAAACACAAAGTATATTTACAACAGTTTGTCCATTTCTCTGGGTGCTACATTATTCAATATTGATATGGCGTAACAACTACTTGAAATCCTACTGTTTATTTTCTCAACATGTGATTTCCAGTTCAAATGACTATCAATGAAATCTCATGTCATGCACTTTCTCAATTTTTTCGCCGTCATTTATTATACTTAATTCGATTGGAGCTCTTTTTATAATTCCTAAATTCTATTAGTTTTGTTTTTCACAAATTTACTTTTAGATTAATTGACGTTAGCTTTACTACTGTGTTTAGTGTGATAAATTTCATTCACAAGATTTGCATCATCTAGTTTGTCTTTGGATAAGAATATTGTAGCATTATCAGCGTACATTACACCTAGATGATTGATTAGTAACGGAAAAACAACAGTAGGCCTAGTATGCTACCTTGCGGTACACCTAGACTTAATTTTTGAAATCGGGTTGCATTTGAGTCATTGATTTTGTTTTTTTGTCAAATGTATCCCGTCGTCGCCACGTATGGCTATATGTTCAAGCTGTTTTAACAATATATTATGTATAACACAGTCAAAAGCCCTTGACAGGTCTAAAAAGAGACCAATACAAGTCCTTTTATGATCTACATCTTTCCAAATATCTTTCAAAATTTTGAATATAGCCAATGTCGTGTTCTTCCGCCTCCCTTTTTACTTTTCCTACAGAAATGTGCTACTTTCTCTTTACTCTTTAATATCTGGGATTCTATATTTATTCAATACTATGTGCAAATAATTTTGTTTCTCTAAATCAACAGGAGGAGTTTTTGAAAGACGGCAAATTCGATGAGGATCTATTCGCCTCAGCGAAGAGCACGGCTTTGTTCGAAGTTGTAGAAAACGAAAAATGCCCCGCTGATGTTGTGAAGCAATCTCTACTCAATTATATAAGACGTGTTAGCGACACGTATAACAGGTACGTCAAACAAAATCACGCCGAGGAATACACTGCAGTTGAAATATTAAACAATACTAATTTGTATTTATAATTATTATTTTTGTATAAAACTGAAAAGACACATAAACCCCCTGATGGTAAGTGGCTACTGTAATTGTACTGGTTCTTCTACATAAGTGTCAGCAGAAGTAAAGTTCATTTATGTACTTCATTATTGAGATTATTATGTAGTTTGATAGATTGTCGTCAATGGAACAGGAAAATATGGATATGAAAACTAATAATAAATTATAATATTTAGGTTTTATGCGAAAAAATTACTAGAAAGTAGTTTTATTACTAAAAGTAAAAAAACCTTTTTTTAAACAGCTTTTATTTAAATGCGCTAAAAAGAATAAAATAAACTTTTCCTTTAAAACTTTTACTATCAACTTATAACGCCATTACACAATTTATATGATATAAAAGCTTGTCGCGAGATTTACCTGTGTAGATAAACAGGATCTGATTGATTTTAATTTTTAAACTAAGTAAATACGAGTAAGTAGAAATGAGTAGAAACTTAAATCTCGTGACAAGCTTTTATATCATATAAATTGTGTAATGACGTTATAAGTTAATAGTAAAAGTTTTAAAGGAAAAGTTTATTTTATTCTTTTTAGCGCCATTTAAATAAAAGCTGTTTTAAAAAAAGGGTTTTTTACTTTTAATTTAATTCCACGTCTGACATCGCCAAGTAGTCGATTGTTTGCTTGGCGATGTGCGACGAGGCGTTGTCGTGGTGAAGGATGATCCTACTGCGAGGTCTTTTCTTCCGAACGTTTTCCAAGACAAGTGGCAAACAATTGTTAGTATATCACTCTGCAGTAACTGTTTTTCGATCCTCTAAAACAATTGTTGCGTAATGACCTGTCCTTCCGAAGAACGAGGCAACAATTTTTTTTCCACGCTTCGACCTCTCTTCACTTTAGTTGGCAACTCCTCGGAAGGAAACATCCAGACAGCAGACTGTCTCTTTGTTTCAGGATCATAACAATAAATCCAGCTTTCGTCGAATACAACATTTGAGTCACCTCCGTTAAATCTTTGAACCATTTCACGACACTCATCAACACGACAGAGTTTTTGGGCCTCTGTCAAATTATGAGGTATATCCATCGGGCACAAAGTTTTTTGACCGCGAAATGTCCATGGAGGATTTTATGCACTTGACTCATACCGATGCCTAAGCTTTTCCGAATCTGCTGATGAGTCATTCTTTTGTCAGTTTCTATCATACGCCGCACAACACTGATGTTATCTTCCGTAGAAGGCCATCCCTCACGCAGATCTGGTGAGATTAGTGCGACCACGTTTAAATTCATTAAACCAGTTGTAAACAGTGGCACGAGGTGGGGCTTCATCGTGAAAGACCAATCGAAGTCAATCCTAACTTGTTGACTTAAATGACATCAAAAGTCATAAAAAATTTTCTCGCGTTAATTTCATGCTGACGTGACACAGATAATTTTCAATTTGCCGCCAAATCGTAACAAATGACAAATTAATAAAATACATACATGGTTCCATTTTCAAACATTTGAACTTATTTTTTTATTATATCGTTTTTTACAAGTGGCCAGTTCTAAAAACTTTCAGTGTCGCCCTCGTAGTAGGGATTGTGTTAGTGCTTTGTAAACCATTTTAATTGTCTTTAGTAGCACAGCGTCGCAAAGCTTTCATTAGGTATGTGTACATAAATGGTGTTTTTAACATTAACCGACAAGCGCTTAGATAACCGATGTCATCTGTGTTGCTGATTGTATTACAGCCGCAGGAGGGTACTTTAGATTCGCAAGTGTGAGTTACCAAGTTTACCAGAGAAAATGGTTTTGATGCGAAATACGAAAAAAAACCATGGCAAATATCTACATACTAGGCGATCTATTGGGGAGGTTTATGTTCAGCAGTGGACTTTAGTAGGCTGCAACTGTACTGGTATTCCTTTGGGGTGTCGTACGTGTGAGTGGAGTTAATGTATTCGTGTGCCCGCGGTGGCTGCAGGCAGCTGGTGTGCGCGGTGGCGGGCGTGGAGCCGCGCGGGGCGCAGGGCGCGGCACAGCGCTGGCTGCGCTCGCTGTTCGCGCACAGCGGCCTGGCCGTCGTCTGCCACCCCACCAAGGTCAACGACCTGCAGCAAGCCTTCCAAAAGTGAGTACTACCCGCCACTTTTATTATATACTAGCGATCTGCCCCGGTTTCGCAAGGATGCTTTCTGGATCTCGACAACAGCGCCAACTACCGGGTCCAATTGTGAATTCAAACCATTCACAAGTCAACAACTTAATATCTCTCTCTCACACACACACACACACACGCACGCACGCACGCACACACACGCACACACACACACACACACACACACACACACACACACACACACACACACACACACACACACACACACACACACACACACACAAAATATTATGTCAAAATCAGTCCAGCCGTATAGAAGAAGTTCTGTCACACACAGAAACAAATATATGTATTATGATATATAGTTCACTTTTATTCCAAAACTTCTATATATATTACTAGCCCGGCAATTTAGAACAAAACAAAACAAAATAAATATGCCACGCAATTGTATTTTTATTTACGACAGATACTGGATTTAAGCAAATCGAAACAAAGTTACACACTTATCTGAAATAAACTTAAATGCGCACATAAATAATGACAGCGTTTTCTGTGTTACATTAAACAAAATCAGTCTTAGATTGTTGAATACAACATTAACATACATACAACAAAAACCAGTTATCTTCCTCTACATTATCCAGTATATCTTCCTAATACTTTCTCTAATGAGAGTACATTCCCAAATGAACAGAGCAAATAGCTTTATAATAATTATAAAAACTGAAAATAAATCATAAAATTAAAAATTCACTTACTGATTATCTAATATTATTTTTTATTTTGTTTTCAGAATAAACGTCAAATTGGATGCATTTGAATCAATGGAAGCGTCTCATTTTAATAAGTAAGCATAATTAAATATTTGTTTAATGTATTTATAAAAGAAAAATGTATATTTTCAAGTAGTGTTGCCACAAAATGATATAAAAACCTCAGTGCACTTACGAAAAAAAATTAGAAACAATAATTTTGCATTTAAGTAACACTAGAACCGCCGAAGTATAACATTCCCGTAAACCGCCAGAGACTAATTTAATTCAGTTTTATTATGACGTCGGTGAGCAGCTTACTAAAAGTATTTAAAAATATTTATTGTTATATGCAACAAATTCACATTATTGTTTGTATTTCAAAGTACTTAATTATTTGCTAACTCTACAGTTACATTTCATAGTATGTAATATGTTGCATGATTTCCTTAAACTTACAAATTAATAGATGCTAAGCGCTATTTTGTCAATGATTTGCTTTGTATGTATGGCTCTGGTCCTTCATGATCTCTAAAGATATTTTGGCATCCAGTCCTGCCAGACGTTCCACTATTTTTGATCACTCCAAGCTGTACCATCAGGAGAAAAGAAACGTATGTCCAAGTAGTGTTAGATAACATTTCCTGATTCTCTAAATTCAGATGAGTGATTCTTCATGTCTTAATAGTAGGAATGTTAATCTTTCGAATATTGAGTCTAATGAAAATAATACGAATAAATGATTTATTCGTATTATTTTCATTAGGACAAAGATTTGCCAGTATTCCAGAAATTCGTTAAACTTGTCTGAAAAATACTAAGTATTAGCCGTAGCTATATATTCTATATTAGTGTAGTACTTTCTTCAGATTCTTTACATAAAGAATTTGTTGTGTACGAATGAATACCTTATCATTGTCAAAGTATTCTAAAGATTTCCAACTTTCAAAATAAAGTAGATTCTATTAGTAATCTAATTATAAATCTATAAATCTAATATAAAATATATATCAATTGCAAGTATTTAAATATAATAATTAAAATATAAGTTTAACTATGCTGGGACAAAAATAACCGATGACGGTTTTTTCCAAAAAACAAAAGGTGGGAATATAATCGGGACAGCGGCGGTTCTAAGTTACTTCTCTGGTTAAGAGATTGCTACTTGGCTGTGCCTTATTAATCGAAAATAATATTGGTTTCATTTTATATGCTTATCACCTCAGAATATTGTATACCTTATATTGTTTGTGTTTAAGATTATCTTTATAAAATAAATAAAACAATGTTTTATTGTGATGATTTATTTTAATCACCGTCCTCCTTAAAGCCTTAAGTATGTCTATACAAAAAATATAACTTAAATTTAATCAGATATTTAGTAAACGTTATTATAAATCATCTCACAACCGCTGCAACACTTCCTTTACAAAATTCCAACCCATTCATAGAATAATATCAAGACATCAACATTATTTTCATTACTAATTGTCATCAACAACCGATTATCCAATTTAACAAAATTAACATTAACATTACCACAGATTTTATATTATTAACAGTAAACTACCAAACTTTATATCTATTCATGTGTATTAAAGAGTCAGTAGTTGAAATTTATTTTCTACTTGAGCGCTTTACTATATTTAGCGTCCAGTGATAATGAAACTGACACAAGTAATTACTTCTACATCGTGCATTGTTTTCTTATTATTTTTAAAACAATCATCAATATAAAGACTTTTAAGTAGGCCATTTCTAAATTGTGTTAAACTCACCAGCCAAGCCAATAGTGAGGCATCTTAATATTACTATAAAGCTGATAACTTATTTAAACCACTGCAGTTTAAAATATTGTACACTTAACATTATATTTACAATTACATACCTTTTCGGTGATTATTTTGTGGGGAATCATGATATACTGAATAACAACAGAACAAAATGCAAATTCTCAATACATCATCAACATCTTAGACGCATCTACAAAGTATACATAAATTTGATGTCAAAACATAGATATTTCATAGTATCAACACAGGAAGGAATAAGTTATCGTATACAATTTAAAAGTAATAATTGTAATAACGTTAATAGGGTGCTTTAAAAACGAGATTTGGTAAATGTTAAAACATATTAAATTAAATCCTAACATTAACTAACTTATAACACCTAAAATGTCGAAATACAATTTCCTATTAGAAAAAAAGACTCATTTCATTATAATTAATTCTACGTAATAATAATAGAAGAGGCGGCCTCAATTTCCTTTGTGTTTATCATCGCACTGGACATGGCTTTACTCTAGTTGAGTAATTCTCGAGTGGCAACAACGCGCTTATAGAAGAATAACATTAAAAATTTTATCAACGAAATATTACAAACCATAATTGTAATAAGTGATTTTAGTATTCATATTGTAATTTCAACAGTTACAAAAGGTGCCCAATATCAGATGGAATGAAGAATAACCATAGTCTCACTAAAATGTAGTACTCTTATTATTAATCAGATACCAGTATCTCTTATAGACACGCGAGTTGTGTATTTCAATTAAAAGGGAATACTTCAAAACATTTTTAAACAAGAAACTTTCAGGTTATTGTTAAAGAAACATATTATTTTTGAACTCTCATATTTTTATTACACATTGCTTATTATCGTGTATTTAAATATCTGCTCTGAGTACTAACATTTAAAGTTTGCTATTCCGACAGCAGATAGTAAGAACAAAACAATTATTTTATCTTATTACTACATATTTATATGAACTAGATATTTTATGAGTTCCATGAACAAATGAATTTTCGCAGGTACAAATACAATGCATTTATTTATCATCGCCGATCATTTTTAATTGTCATAACAACTACAGGAATTATGACACCTGTTAATGTTAAAAAAATAATCTAAATAGATATGTGAATGAATTCAAATGTTACATAAAATACACCAGTATTTTCAATTGCTTAAATATGATCTTACGACTCAACTATCTAAATGCATTAACAACTAACACCTTAACTTTCGTCTCCGGAAATTCACAGGCCCTGCCTGTCTAATAAATAACCTGTTGGTGTATTTTACATAACTATGTTAATAATAAAACTGGCATAAACAACAAATACATACTAGTATTTGCTCTATCTTGTTGGTATTATTTTGCTATACATTTAACACTAAGGCTGCCAATAATTATGAATCAATATGGGACATATTCCATACTCACCGAATATTCTTGTTGATTTTTTTTATAGGATAGGGTGACAAACGAGCATACAGTCCACCTGATGGTAAGTGGTTGCTGTGACCCATAGACATCTACATCTATTCTCAATTAAGAAGTGAGGACTAAGATGGAATGCCTCTTTTCCAGTAAAAAGGGTCTCCGGTTGTAAACAGTCACCATACGAAACACTTTGTTAAGCTGCTATTTTACGCTGGTATTCTAATAGAATAATAGAATAACATTATTTATATTAAAGTGATTGTAGTACATGGGTTTGACATTACATTGTTTGTACTATCTATAAAATATGTCCTTAAATCTAGTGGATGTAGCTCTGCACTCCTAGCTGGTTATTGTTTAATATTCTGGCTGGTTGATTATTGAAAAATGCGAACATAACCTTACATATCCTCGTGTCGTGTCTCCTGTGGACATAAATAATAACCTAATTTTCTTTTAACGTGCTTGTCGACTAAGGAAGACATTGTAAGAACTTGTATGCCTGAGAAATATATTTCAAGTAAATTTTAAGTCTGCCAACACGCATTGACACAGGTTAACTACTCTAGTTCCTCATGGCACTTTCAGAATGACATAAGGTCTGTGCCAAGCAATGGAATGTATACTGGCTGTTACTTTTTAGTAACCGACTTATAGATATGATGATAAAAGATATTATTTTTTAAGTTTTGATTAAATTGTTTATAAAATTTAACAGATTGACCCACTTTCAATTTAAGTTTATATTTTGTAGCTGAATTTAAGAATATTAGTTATATCCTTTTTTATTGACTGAACACGAGTTTGAAAATAGGTACTATTGCATTTTTCAAAATGGTCAAAGGACATCTTACGTGTAGATTTTACCGTGTTTAATGGTTCTAGTCTTTATGAAATTACCAAACATGAGCTATAATATCATTTGGTATGAGACTGTCCCATTTGGCAAACAGTTGACAGCCTCTGAGTTCAGTTTACATCATGGAGTTGGCGTCAATCGGCGGCGCATGGTTACGTAGCGCTTCGCGGATATAGCCACCGATACTGCCTTCAGCGACCAGGTGGAAGAAGAACAGGCTCTCGAAGCTCTTAAGCGATATAGAGCGAAGCGCCGGTAGCCGTAGCAGAAGCGATGCGAAACGACCCTCCTCCGTGCTGTGCGATCTCCGACAATATTCATCCAGACAGGAGAACATCTACAAATAAAAAAATTGGAATTAAAAATACAGTATTGTAAGACATTGCTGAACAAAGCAAGGCTTTCCAATATTTACATTATGTTTCGTATAATATAAGGTAAGGTATTATCAATTTCTGTGGAGAAGATTGGGTTGTCTTCATACATTTCACTCTACGATCTCGACAACCCTTTTTGTAACAGCCGAACACACAGTCCATTTGAATGTCATCTATCCATGATTTAAGAATCAAAATGCAGATGCATTGTCATTCTTGAGAATTAAGATGAAATGCCTCGTTTCCAGTAAAAAGGATTCCTGGTTTACACTTACCAAACAAACCACAGTAGCATTAAGCTGCTTGTTTACGCTGGTATTATGTGAGAGCGTGGTCCTAACCCGGTCGAGCCGACCCATTCGTGCTACAACAACAATATAGCTGCAACGTGGCTCTACTCCATGTAAAATACCAATTATAATGCACAAACTATAACAGATAATGATATTCTCATAATCAAGGGATCCAACTCAGAAAACAAGGAACTGAAGGGTTGTATGTTAGAAAATAGTTTTATTATTATCATCAATCATTTTTTGCCTCTATTAACGAAGGTAAAATAGCCCTTATATATTAATTAAGATGATAACATAACTTTAATAAAAAGGGAAATTTGTAGACTATTAAAATAAGATAGTAGCGTACCTTTTCTCGAAGAATCTCAACTTCTTGTCGACTTTTCAATCCTTTTACATCTGCAAATAAAATTAGTAATGAGGTTTAAACTTACAAAGACTTCTATAACATACACAACAGAACTTTAATATCTATTTTACATTATGAAATAATGAATAATATATGAAAATGCATTATTTAAATTATTTATTTAATATGTACATCATGTGCAATAGACAATTGAGTTGATGTTTCAAATATTATACATCATCAGCCTGTACAAGTCCACTGCTAGGCATGAGCCTCTCTCGTTGTAGGGAGGAATCGCCTTACCCCACGCTTAGCACGTGGATTGGTGATCGTAATGCTAGATGCCTGATTGATGCTGCCCCATCACCGGTCTGTTTATTTGACGCCTCGAGTAAGTGAGATGATTATACTGTCATTCGATATTTGTGGCATTTCTTTGGAAACTGACTATTGAGTCAGTCACCTTTTGCGACAACCAGGCCATGAAGTTGGATGACGGATTCTCTTACGCTGTCATCACACAGCAATATACTACGCAATGTGTAGCGAGTAGACTTGTGGCTCACACAGAATATCAGTCCGGTGGTAACTTGTACCGTAGCATTACGCTGAGTCTGTGGCCTTTTTGTTTTTCTTTTTTGTTAAATTTAGTTCTTTCTAGCGTAATTGTCACTTCCAGACTGGACTATGGCTTGTCGATATTTAAATCTGCGTCGAATGATAGATTGGTATAAGAGACAGCAGAGTTGAGTGAACACAAATACGACACTCACCCGGATTGAGCAGGATGATGGCTTTGAGCGCGACGTACTCGGCCTGGTCCATGCGCAGCGTGCGCATCTTGAGCGACAGCTCGGAGAGCACGCGGTCGAAGATCTGGCCCACGCCCGCCTGCAGCGCCGAGTTGCGGTGCAGCGTCATGCCTGCGGAGGTGCGTCACACCAAGCGTTATATTTATGAACCATTTTTGATATGTGCTCGATTAATAACTACATTAGACTGTCGTTAACGCGACTGATGGTCTTGAGGTTCCGGGTTCGAAACTCAGGTCGGTTCAAAATCAGTTATTGGGTTTTTCTAACAAGAAATTCTTAATAGCAGCCCGGAGTCAGGAACTTGGCGGTGTTTCACTTCCGTGCCTCGGAAAGCACGTATAACCTTTGATCCGGCGCATGATCTCTTTCCGGTAGTGTTGGTTTATCGTCCCATCGACTATGAGAGTGAGGAAGTTGAGAGTGCACCTGTGCTTGCCCAAACACCTAGTCACTATAATCCTGTCCTGCACAGATAGCTAGTCTCTTTGGAGACTGGACGCCGTGACCGAAATCCGGTCCGGATTTATATTACATAAGAAATTTTTAGGAATAAAATCGTTGTGTCGTGTCCTCTGCGATTTCTGCACAAGGCAGGATTATAATGTACGGATAGTTATGCCAGCATTGGTGCACTCTCGTAGTCCGTAGATACGGCAATAATACCGACACTACTGGAGAGAGATCAGGCGGTAGACAAACGACTTGACGTGCTTCTGAGGCATAAAGATGAAATACCACCCTCTGAACGATATTAGAAACCAGAAATACATTATCAGAAATTGCATGTACGACTATTAGACCAACGACTCAGTCGAACCCGTCACAAGTATACTTTTAAATAAAGGTTTTCTCCGGAATGCCATAAAACACCATGGGCACCAAAATCCCAATAGAACTACAAAGCAATAAAATGCTTGTTCAAATATTTACCAGGCATAAGACACATGAGCTGTGGCGTAGCCGCACTCCGCGTGCCATCCATGTTTTCTCTTTCGTCTTCCAAATACTGAAAACAAAAGTTTTAAAATATTATACTTTATATTGTTGTTTAATACATTTTACCATATATTTAAATCAGCACAAAACTTATTAAGTCAAACCTGTGTTTAAAATAACATTCCTCGCCATTTTATTTATTACACTACGGCGTACTTATTTTTTTTTTAATTTATTGTTTATTGCACCAAATATTTGTACAAAAGGCGAGCTTAATGTTATATGGCATTCTCTACGTACCTACAAGATATATTATTAATAAAATGAAAAGATAATGAACGTCATCGAGAACATCTCGAAAATTTCCGCGAATTTCGAACGTATCCGGAACCGATACTAGCGCAAGCGATTCCCGATACTTTCGGTATTTTATATTGACCTTTCTGATTCATAGCGTTCATTCGTTGCCTGTTCATAGGAACGACTGTTCATCATAAACAGTCTCTCCTTTTCCATGAACTCTTTCTTCGAGACGCCTCACAAACCCAGACAAGTGTATACCCGACGGTCGTCAAAAAATTAAGTTAACTTCACTTATGGCTACCAAGCCACAAGTTTTCAGTTATGTTTCAGTGGTCGGGCGGGTTAAAGCCGACAGCTGTTACCAAGTGGTGATAGGCACTATAAACCTTAATTTTAAGTTGGAGTAGTCATATCTAATGATATCAACGCTGTGTCCCACTCATGCTCTAATCCAAAGCTCGGAAACTTTCAGTTCCTATTACAAAATCGTTTTCAGTGATTGGAAGATTGCAATACAGTGGACAATATAAATAACAAGCTCATGAGAACTGTTTATGCGGTCGGACCTGAGTTTTGCAACTACTCGACGACGTTGCAGTAGAACCCAAAAACTCTTCAACTATACTCTTAATTTCATGGCTTTTAGACGAGAAATTAAACTGCAGTCTTCAACGTGTGTGAATGTGTATAGTAAACTGACAAATGCATTGGGCGAGAATAACCTAGAGCTCATATTGAACAAGCGATTGGGCCGAACTAACTAACTTTGAACAGTGGTAGAGCCACGCGGCAGCTTTTGCTGTCGCATGGATGGGCCGGCTCGAACCGGGGTGTTACCACGACCTCACAGAAAACCAGCGTGAAGTAGAGGTTTACCTTTGCGTTTCGCTTGGTGAGTGCAGGTGGCCGGAGGCCCTTTTTACTGGAAATGAGGCATTCCGTCTTAGTCCTCACGGGTGACAACGCATCTACATTTTGATTTGTAGTGGAGGATAGATGTGGATGTCTATGGGCCGCAGCAACCACTTACCATCGGGTGGACTGTGTGCTCGTTTGTCGCCCTTATCCTATAAAAAAAAAACTAAGGCTATCATTGTCTAAGTTGAATTCAACTTTAGTTGCATCATTTCCTTGACTCTTGAGATTTTGAATAGGATTGGGAGGTTCTATGGGAGCTTTGCACTTTGTTGTTGGAGTCACAAGTGTAAGTAATGACCCAAGAGCAAATCCTATCGGACACTATTCCAGTAATATCAGTCAGTCTGAGATGGATTAGAATGGCTCTCCAATACCTGTAAAACTACAAGACGCCGAGGGAGGATGGAATTACATACCTCGTAGATGTGACATTTGCCCTCAATGTTTTATTTACTTGCATGATATGATATGATAGCAACGTTAAGCAAAAAAATTACCTCCATAGATCGCCAAGCGATGGCAAAGAGCAGTAACTCATTCCAGGAGGCCTTGATAAGCAGCACCTGGTCTTCCAGCTCCAACTGCCCGAAGTGAGGTATATCCCTTGCCCACACCACTAACGCCGCAATTTGTTTGTTGCCTGGAATATACACATATATTCTTATAAAAATGTTATCAAACAAGATAAAAATTGTCGGTTGAAGATTACGAAATAAAACGACAATTAAAAAAATACCTTAGTTCCTACTCATTTTCGACAAATGGTATAAGGTTAAGTTCAGTTTATTCAAGTAATAAATTAATTTTTAAAGTGAATTACAATTTAATATTGTTGACCATTCTGTAACATCAAATGTTTTAGTTTGAAATTAAATATATTTTCTCTTTGAAAAGTAACAATATAATATTTCATTTCACTTGAAGGAAATATAATTCCGTTTGTCAAATGTGATTTATTTTAATATATTAAATTGGAGAAGAATTGGCGAAAGAAACTCTAATTCTTCGTTCGTAATTTTTGTAATTTGTAAGAATGGAAAACAATAACAGACCCATCGGTAACTGAAGCATGTTTATGATGCACTCAAAAATTTAATTTGGAGCACTTAGTAGCATTTAATTTGGAACTTATCATTGTATAGCGAAGCCTCACAGCACATGTTCACAACTATGGCGCTTGTGGCAGCCATCGCCCTTCTCGTTTTGATAAAACTCACCATACGCGTTCAGTTTCGAACCCAAACAATATACACAATGTACTGTTTCTAATGTTCAACCTTTTACGTGATATCGACGATTTCAATCACGGCCGCAATTTTATATAAAATTACTATAGTGATAAACGAGTCAAATGTTGAGACTTCCACGCGTATCTCTTATCTAATAATGCTGCCAGACACCAGTGAATAAACTATATGGGGCATAGGCCACCTCTTATTTTGTGAGTGTCATACCCCTGGGAACCAAGTCTCTAGTTTAAAGGGTGCAGAGACAGTATAATAACCAATAGACTTCATAGATTTTACACATTAAAAAAAAATTAAGGTATCCACGGTCTGTAGTAGCTACATAACACCAGTTTTAACTATTATTTCGTTTGTTACATTCATCCTATAAAAATGTTTATTTTATAGGATAGGGTGACAAACGAGCACACAGTCCACCTGATGGTAAGTGGTTGCTGTGGCTCATAGACATCTACATCTATCTTCGATTACGAATCAAAATGCAGATGCGTTGTCACCCGTAAGGACTAAGATGGGATGCCTCGTTTCCAGTGAAAAGGGGTCTCTGGTTCTCTACACTTACCATACGAAACACAGCAGCGTTAAGCTGCTATTTTACGCTGGTATTCTCTGAGAGCGTGGTCCCTCACCGGTCGAGCCGACCCATTCGTGCTACAACTATACCAGTAATATAGCTGCAGCATGGCTCTACCCCACGTACTGAATGTATGTATAAAATGTATTACAAAATGTACATTACCTATCTGACAAAGGCTGGAGACGGGCGCGCGGTATCGCGGTGGCACATTACTGTCGGGTCCCACCCGCAGAAACTGGAACTCTTCACTTGGATCCGCTACTAATGACTCCATTTCTAGAAGCCGCTCGATCGACAATTCCTGAAAATTAATAATAGACTTCTCTTTTAATTACAAAATTGTACTATTTATAACAAGTCGTTATGTAAGCAATAAGAGTCAGATCCCCGCCGAGGCCTACAAAATGGTAGATCGCAATTTTATGTGTTGATTTATCATGTAATCATAGAACGAGCGTGTCGTTTGGAGACCTGCTTGGCTAAGGAATTAATAATAATCCAAAGACACGTGAAGTCTGTCAATTTGAATTGAAGTAATGATGCGTGAACACAAATATATACACACATAGTACGTGTTATTGTTTTTTTTTTTTTTACTTCAAGTTGATAAACGAGCGTTCAGCTCGCCTGATGGATGACAAGTGTTGTCTAGGTATTCTGATTCAGCCTTTGTGGAACTTTTGAGAGCTAAAATTAAATGTTCACAGTTATCTAACTCACAAAATAAAAATAATGTTCTCCAAACCGAATTTCGGCCACAAGGACAAGATGTCTTTATGGTCCGAAGCGACTATATGAACAGCAGTCGCGCTTACGACCAATAGACCAACTAGGGAAGTCACTATACAAAACCAGTTACCACACAAAATTATAAAAAATACATCAGCATTAAGATGTTTTTCATTCCAGATCCGGATGTGAGGAAGAATAACGGGGCTAAGGTCTCTTATCTTCAATTACAAAAGGCTATCACAAAACAGTTTTTAGTAACTCAAAATTATACGACGAAAAGGAATATTACGCAAAAGGCTATGTTTCCAAAAAATCAAGTAAAACGTATAAAAAAGCGTTCCGTGCCGTCAACTCTCCATTTAAATTTCCGTAACAACCGAATTTCTATAATGTATTTAAAAATCTTTGATGACAGGCAGAAAGACGAAAGATAGACACCAATGTGATTGAAAATATGTTCCGTTTTACTAATTTTAGCACGCATCACAACCATTTTGTGGAATCTGTCTCCTGCGATTTTCCCAACCGCTAGAAACTTTCATAAAAAGAACCTACTCACATTAATAGGCCGTCAATGCACCTGCATTTGTGTTTTTACAACAACCTGGTGTTGCAGTTGTTTATGGGCGGTAGCAGACACTATCAGTTTAGCAGCATGCTCGTTTCTTCTTCTTCTTTATTTAAAAACTACTACTACTACTTTTCTTAAAGTTAGTTACAGCCTATATACGTCCCGCTGCTGGCTTCTAATTTCTGAAGGTTTTAGAGCAAGGAAATGTCCGTCGTGCTGCCCCAATGCGTGTTGACGAACTTTACGTCTTTGAAATATATTTTTATCAAATATGCAAGTTTCCTCACGATGTTTTCCTTCACCGACGAGCACGTGGTAAATCAGCACTTAAAATTGTATTTAACTATTTCTTTGGTGCCGGCGGGGTTCGAACCCGGGTTGCTCGCGTACTGTGAAATTTACAGTGAGCGCTAAGCCCTATCTTAGCTACTTTTTTTAATATCTAAGTATTTCTTTAGAAAAGTTTTACTTCTTAGTTGACCCAGTGTACTAGCGCCTTTAAAGAAGACCCTGTTACTCTGGTATTCTATGAGTACATCGCGTTTTATCTATTCGAAAGGGCAAAGGAGTCTCTGAGTACGCGACAAGGCGGTTAAACTTAAAAAATCAATTAAGGTTGTACGGGCAAGTCTACCTAAGCCTACTTAAGCCGATAGAGTACATTGGAAGCAAATGCCCTGATGCCGTTGTATCAGGAGCAAGACCATGCGGCATAAAGCGCCGCCTCGATGTCGTGAGGTCAGATATGAAAGTTAATGGGCTATGTATAGAGGACACTACAGACCGGGGAAAGTGGAGACGATGATCAAGAGAATGGAAGCCTAGTCAGCAGCCGCGATAAGAATGTTCGGACAAATTCCAGCCGCTCAATTTACTCGCGATACCATCCATACCATCTCGATGATTGGCGGTCCACCACTATGCGATTTAGAAGATTTTTTCTTCTTCGCACAACTCCATTGTGGAATCGATTACCACCAGCGATTTTTCCGGACTGATACGACTTAGGGACCTTCAAGAAATGAGCATATTCCTTTTTAAAAGGCCGGCAACGCATCTGCAATACCCCTGGTGTTGCGGTTGTTCATGGGCGGCGGTAGTCACTTACCATCAGGTGAGCCGCTTGCTCGTTTGCCCCCTCTCATATAAAAAAAGAAGAATTTTGACCTGTCTTAACGTGTACTATTTTATTCGCTAGGGTGGGATATTTTACTGTGACACTATTATTTATTCTGTTCTGTGACGTTATGTATATATTTTTTAAATAATCATCAATAACCATTTATTTCACCAACTTTTAGTCTTTCAGATATTGCTTAGATTACGCATTGCTCTATCTGTTGTATCTATAGATGCTTTGTCAAACCTGAGGAATACTCATTACAAGTAAAAGCGTATCCAGTTCTATACACTCATCAACGAAACAATATCATTATACTGATAATTTACACTGGTACTTTTTTTTAAAACATACTCTACTAACTGACAGTATTCTGTGAGCAACTTTGTTATAGAAGGCACATCTTATACATTAGTATGATGATACTGCTTTTTAATGGTCGTGGAATGAAAAAAAAAGAGTTTATAATATCTTGTAGAAGAAACTTTGTCAAGTGCTATTAAGTAAAGTTACAGGAGTTTATTATAAACACATATGTACACAATATGTATTATAATAAAAATAATATGTGAGCTCGATAGCGCCTGACGCGAGATGCCGATAGTTCACATATTCTGTGATGTCACCTTTATTATTACTCTGCGCCGCGGTCGTTATTGATTTAATTCGAATCGCGCCGTTGTGTGTACATTAAGATGACCATATGTGGTAGCTAATATGGTATATTATATATCTTTTAACGACATTCCGTAAGCACTTAAAAAGTACCTACATAGAGCATTACGCGTGGCATGCTATTAAAAAAGAAAAATTATATGCACTGGGCAAAATTTTATTTTAAAACTAGCTGTTCCTCGCGACTTCACCCGCGTGTTATTTGGGGTTTTAATTTTTTTCCGCTGAACCCTAATTCTTTTTCTAAAATAAAAGTAGCCTAAGTTACTCCTTATGACATCAGCTATCTGCCAGTGAAAGTCACGTCAAAATCGGTCCAGCCGTTTCAGAGATTAACCGGAACAAACAGACAGGCAGACCGACAGACAGACAAAAATTTAAAAAATTGTGTTTTTGTTATAAGTATCGTATATACTTTCATATGCATTTAGTAAAAAGTCGTTATTTTGACATTACAAACAGACACTTCAATTTTATTTATTTATATAGATATAGATATAGATCATTCAATAACTCGACGTTTGGTACGTGGTGACTATCATCGCTTGTGTAGACACTAATATAATTGATTTATGTTATAGGGTAATTCTTCGTTATTTTAAGTAAAAATTACTTAAGTGATATTAGGCCACATTGTTTTTTTAAATAGTCATCTTTTAATCATATCTAAATTTCATTAATTAAAAAAGTACTTCATGCAAACCGGTCATTGATGAGACATAATGCCTGCTAGGATATAGCAGGAATTATGTACCTACATATATATCTTTATATATAAAAATTACGTATCACATTGTTTTTCCGCGATGAACTCCTAAACTACTGAACTGCTATCAATGAAATTTTGCACATTGTGTGCAGTTTGGTCCAGCTTGAGAGATAGGATAGTTTTTATCCCGATAAGTGACCCTCAATTTTTTATTGCTAATTTCAGGAGTTTTTTTTAGGAAAGCAAATGGTCGTCGGAAACGGCAGAACGTCTGCCTGGTCAGCTAGTTTGTTTATAAAAACTAAACGAACATACAGTCCACCTGATGGTAAGGGGCTACTGCAGTCTATGAACATCTGTAGCGAATTTCACACAAAGAAGTCTCACGGTATGTAGTTATACTGACTCTATTTACTGTTCAAATCGGAATGCGGCTATATGCGGCTATTTAGCGTCAGTAAATAGGTAAGGGGGTGGTACCTAAATAGAGACGGGAGACTCCTTCCATTACCACCTAGTAAAGATATGTAATAAATATAAAATAAAATATTACAATCGTTTAAATCCATCACGCAAACGACACGCAAGTTGTTTTAGGCCTAAATTCGTAGGTAGCCCAAATATGATTATTTTGTCGTTTAATATTTCATTGACGCGATATTCAAATTAGAAGTTAGAAGTCAGGTAACTCAGAAATTATTATATAATATATATTATAAAATAGCCCTTAGCTAGTAACATTTATTTGTAAGGTCTATTTCGTCAAAATCTGATAAAGTTTGTCCTTGCACGATACGCACAAAGCGTCCCCGGAAGCGACAGCTGTTGGCCTAACAACGGTGTTTTAAATCTAGTTGCTAACATTATATATTTATTTAGTTTGCATGTAAAGACTATTAAATAAGTTTAGTCTGATTTCATATCGGATGACTGCTGGGACCCGGTTTCAAATACATTTCGAAACTGTTAGTCCTGGATGTGTTGTGTACACTATTTAATATCCTATTCCAATCTTATTTCAAAAGCAATATCATATCAGATAAGAGAGTAATAAAAAGCGACTGCCGTACTCAGAGACGCTTTATAAATCATTGTTATTATACAATAAATTTCACAGAGTTAATGGGTTCCTTAGTCGCCTCTGGATACGCCCTTCAGTAGGCGCTTGCCACGTGGATACTATAATGTCTCCTAAATTGATAACTACAAATAAATTATGGTTAAAAAAACAAAGAATAGGGCTGCAGTAACCTATAATTATGAAAATTATTTTCTTTAGTGATCGGTTCAATATGATAAAGTATCATTAAAAATGCTGAGGGCAGGAGAGGGAGTGGTGGCAAGCCTGCTGTACACTTTCTTTAATTTATGCTGGGAACTTAAGCAAGTACTGGGAGACTGGTGCAAGTCGTTATATTCCCACTGTATAAGGAATTATAGTTACAGACTACTGTAGACTATATTGAAATTAGCCATCTTAGCATGTTGGGTAACTGTATGCTAAATTGTGTGTTGAGTTAATTGAAAGAGTTATGAAAGAAACTGGTGGAAAAATTTGGATGTGCAAGCTGGATTTAAAAAGGGAATGGAAAGTACGAATAGGTCTATTCTATGCGTATGATCACAGATAAATTTTTGGTCATAAACCAGTTTTCTGTGTATTTTTAGACTTGGAAAAGGCATAATATGACGTGGTGGATAGACTTGATTTATGGCAATCGCTGGCCACATTTAGCTTGAGCACTAAGCTGATACAGGCGTTAAAATCTCCTTATAATGACTTTTGTTCTTGTGTCAGGATCAACGGGGCATACGCGGACTGGTTTGGTATCCATAAAGGTCAGACAGGGTTGTGTAGTTTTCCTGTGCAATTTGTTTATGGACAGTTAAGTCAAGTTTGAAAACTATGAACGTAGAAGGATGTGAAATAAGAATGGGTAAGTTAGCTGTCAAATGCCTGATCCTGAAAAGATATTGTGACCAGGATTAAGCCAGGAATGCTTCGGTAGATTGGACGAGTAGAAAAAAAAATGCTGAATAACTCAAGCAAAATTATGTTACAAAAGATAGTGGCAGCGTCGGCATGGGTCCCCTAGGAGGAAGTTAATCGTCCAAATTAGCGATATTGGTCAAATTATGATTATGAGTACCCTTAACGGACGAGCGTGTGCGTGCCAAAACCGTAATTTGCCTACAGGCATTTGTGGCATTCCTTGGGAGAGGCCTATGTTCAGCAGTGAACCTGTGAAGAGCTGTAATGATGATGATGATGATATTGATGGGTGACAGGTGACAGGCGTAAAAGTATACTAATAAAAACAAATCAAAATTTGAAATAACCACTAACATCACCTAACCACACTGAAATCTTTTTTATGTAATTCTGGTCCTTTCTATTGTACAGTGTTGGTGCCGTTAGACGGTCGATTTAAATAATAACAAATATTTACAGTGAAACAAGCACAAGTGTTAAAATATAACCAACAACCATTGAACTTGACTAATGAATAACAACCGCTAGTATAAATTACATTTATATTTAAAATATAAAACCATGAAGCAAATAACTAAAAAGTAATGATCATAAAAAATATATTTACGACTTTAGAAGGAACGTTCAAACGAATCTGCAGGTTTCTAAATATGGGCAATAAACGTTGTAATATCTACGCGCGTCAGCCGACATCGCTTAGAGCCGAACTTAATTACTTATGATACTTTTATTAGACGCTTTCAGTGTTTAATTAGTTAGAAATAGTCGTTGGAAGGCGTAAGCGCGTCATTAATGAATAATCCAAAAGCTTTTACAAACGAAACAACGAGTTTAAAGCATCTATAAAAAATGTGAATTCATCAAAAGAGTCATAAATCATAATTATAATTTAATCTGTAAAGTATCTACAGACTACATTTAAGCAAATATTATAAATCTAAAAATATTAGAAAAATAACTAATAATAATTACACCAAAATTATATTCTAAACTATAACCAAGCTAAACTATCTCTCTAGTCATTACTAAAAAAAAAAAAATATATTTGTGTACAATAGTTATTCATGTTAACAAAAACAAAGGTCTTATTACCTGTACGGAACTGCTCGGATGCGCGTCCTCGGCTCCCCTCGCGGCGCGTTGCCTCTCCTCCTGCACCGCCTCCCGCTTCATGCCGCACGCGAGACATTTCTGATAGCGACAGTACTGACAACGATTCCTCTGTCTCTTGTCAATTATACAATTCCGTTCCTCGCGACACGCGTATGTGAGATCCTTCCTCACCGTCCGCTTGAAGAAACCTTTGCAGCCCTCGCAACTGGAATTCAAAGCGCAATCATTAAAATTTTCAGCTTCATATTGCGACGCTGCACTGATTACTAAAGGCAAAGTAACAACAGTTGCCGTGGTTCACTCGCATGGCTCGTGCACTTAATGAAGTTTAAAATTGTGATTTGTATTCACATTCTGTTCCAATATACTAATCTGCGCACCTCTTTCATTTGCGAAATATTTTATTGATTTTTAACTCGACTATTAACTTTACTCATAGCTATAACAACACAATAACCTTTGTTTAATTAATTTTTTTATAGAATAAGGGTGGCAAACGATCCACACAGTGGTGGGCTGTTTGATCGTTAAAAATGTGCGTTGCCACATGTGCGTTGTTTTCAGTGAAAAGGTTAAGTCCGGTTCTCTATGCTCACCATAAGAAAAACAGCAGCATCAAGCTGCTATTTTAAGCAGGTATTCTATAAGGGGGCACGGTCCTTCCCCGGTTGAGCCAACAAATTCGTGCTACAACCATAACATTGTCACTGCGTGCCTTTACCACGTTTAGATGATAGAGCCATGCCTGTTGCCTGGTGACAGAGTCTGGTCACCATACGTGGAGTGTAGAGAAGAGTACAGTAGAGTACCAGAGAGTTTTACTGGAAACGAAGCATTCCATCTTAGTTCTCAGTGACAACAACGCATCTGCACATTGATTCTTAATTGAGTACAAATGTAGATGTCTATGAGCCACAGCATCGACTCACCATCAGGTGGACTGTGTGCTCGTTTGTCACCCTTATTCTATAAAAAAAATATTGTCTTTAGAGGCTTTAAAAAACATAAAATTGGTTTATGTTTAGGGATATTTTATTTAACACAGATTTTTATTCAAACGATTCATAAAAATGTACCATATTGGTCAGGTACCGACCAGTAGGCCCCATGTTTCTTTAGCAAAAAGAACGTGTCAACGGTGTCCTTTCTTGAAATGTCATCATAAAAGGCGACTAATGGGATACTGTGTATGTGATTGGTAGGCGATGGACTTGCTACCTATCACTTCTTTCACAATATTCCACTTATACCCATATCATTTTTTGGCTCAACGTGGTTTGAGTAGATCGTTGCTCTTTAAACTTTGCCTACCCCTTCGGGGATTACAGGCGTTACGTATATTTATATATGATATAAAACAAATACTTGATAAATTATATAATTATATCCATATTCAAATCGTGGTCTAGCATGTAACTTCAGTCTAGATTTACCAGGCTTTACTATTTAACAATCACTTCAATAACATTTGCAGATAACGCTATAACATCACCGGACTGTCATTATCCTGGGATAATGACATTAAAGCATTTTTTTAAATTTATTTCAATCCATATCTACCAATACCATGTTCCTGTGTTTTTGTTTTCCATAAATAAATTATTTTATAAACTAGGAACCTCAAAAATTTTTTAAAACTGCTAAGTTATACTGGCGTTATTAGACAACCAGCAAAAATAAAAGATACAAACATAGTCAAACCCCTTGTCGAATTTTGGGAGAGGAAAACGGAGAATAAGGCATGATGATTTAAAGGCCTTCTTCACGGTCGGAACCAACCACCAACCGTCGTGACCTTGGTCGTGTTGATGTAAAAATGGACAGTGTAGACATCGGTTGTCTGACCAATACTTTGGTTGATGTCCGACGGCCTTGGTCGCGAGCGCATCACTCACGACACGTTGGGTCCGTGGTTGACGCCGACCGAGTGGAAAGCTGTCGGCCGACGAGTTGACGAGAGCGCCAGGCGGCAGGCACCTCATTAGTCAATTTTTCATAGGTTTATGTAATCAATCCGACCAACACTTGTCTCTCTCGGTTGTCTAGCTCACTCTATCGTACAAAGAGCGACAGCAATAGATCTTTAAAACCTATTCTTGCAACTTCTTGCATCCCAGATATCCTTTTAAAGGTGAACAAAAGTCAACACTTTATTGCGAGTCTAAACATAACCATAAAATTCAATTGGAAAATTGATTCATGGTATTTATAGTTCATTGTCACGTCGGACACTCGTATAACACGAATCAATTTGGCGTTATTGATCTATTAGAAATAGAGACGCGCCTGTGAGCTATGCGAATAAAATAAGCGATTTAGGTTGGTAACGCTTAATTTAAAACATTTGTTCTGAAATTTCTAGAAAAAAAATTTAGATTTTTACATATAATAAATAAACTGGTACTACGAAATATCTGTATCTGAAGGTTCGCATGCCAAAGTTGGACGCCTATTTTACTCTAAAATTACACAATATTGCAATTACCCGATGTTCATTGCTTTATTTTTTAAAACAATTTCTCGTGAATTTTGAAGGAATTTAATAATTCTCTTCTTTTCGGCATTTCAATTATCCACTTCGTAAAGATTAGATAAAAAAGTGCAAAGCCGATATTTTCGAAATGGTGGCTGGTGGTGTTCATTCCTATAACCAGTCAGAGATTTGTGTGCGTCACTTTGAATGGGTTTTCCGCCATCAGGCGGTAGTCACAACTTGCACAGCAAGCTCAGGTATGGTTGACACGTGGTAAACAGTATGCTATATTATTATTCGCTCTAAAACTCCAACTATTTAAACAAGTTTTGTGTGTAATAGCAGACATAAAAAATGAGAAGGTTCTTAATTCGACTGTTTTTTTCTGATCTTCGTTAAGTAAATAATATTGACCAATTTCAATTTTAATTACTCTTTTTTTATTAAATAGGCTATATAGCTGTGGGTAGGTACCGTATAATGGCGGCTTAAGAGAATTCACCCATATTAACCCATGGGTGTCGTCAAAGGTAATAAGAGGGATACTAAAACAGGATCAATATCCTGCCCAATGGCAGCAGCATCTTCCTGATAACATAACTACAATGGCAGCAGTTGATTAATAGCCTGTAATGATGATGTTGTTAATGATGGAGGATACTTCTTTACGTAACTATTAAAGACTTTCTAGTTGTATTTTGAGATGGTGATGATATAGCTTCGTCCACTAAAAAGGGTAAAGGGTAAAAAAAAGTAAAAACTGACTTCAACAAACTAAATAGGATAAAACAATTTCAACATAATTTTAATAATTATTATTTATAAACGAATAGCATGGGATTATCATAATTTTAACACTCGTGATTCATAATTCTAGAAAAGATTGTATCGAACTTGTTTAATATGTTGTGCAACAGCTAGTTTACGAAATCGACATCAAAAATACAACACGAAATCACGATATTGAAAAAAATTTCAAAATCAATTCTCACGTTATTCATTTGAATGATATTTAAGAGATATAGGTACCGAGCAAAATAATAGTGCGAAGCCAAAAGTTGTTGAACCCATATACTACAGACTGGTGATGCAACATCACAAGGTATCGTCCTTTCTGTTCTGTGATATTGACACTGCGCTCGAATCATTATTAGCCTGAACGTGCGTGCCTTTTTCAAGAAATCTACTTTGGTATTACCAGTTAATTCAAATATGTAAATACGGAAGATAAATGAGGATTTAAAATAACTGTGTAGTGGCCGTGTAAGAATGTCCACTTACTATCGCATAGCGTCCTGTAGGTTTCGTAAGAGGCGACAAAGGGAAACAAACCAGGATATGGGTAGCAGCGTCTTCCTAATAAAAAATAGGAAAAAAAACTATGTTTGCCAATCCGTCGGCCAAGAATGGCAACTATGCTATTTAATTATTTAATGCAAATATTCCCATTATATGGAAAGGCCTATGTTCAGCAGTGAACTTTAATAGGCTCTAATGAAAAATTTAATCTATACAAATAAATAAAATTGAAGCGTCTGTTTGTAATGTCAAAATAACAGCTTTTTACTATAATATGCATATGAAAGTATATACGGTACTTATAACAAAAACACAACTTTTAACATTTTTGTCTGTCTGTCTGTCTGTCTGTTCCAGCTAATCTCCGAAACGGCTGGACCGATTTCGATGGGACTTTCACTGTCAGATAGCTGATGTTATAAGGAGTAACTTAGGCTACTTATACTTTTGAAAAATATTTCGGGTTCCGCGAAACATAGTTAAAACCCTAAATTACATGCGGGCGAAGTCGCGGGGAATTGTTAGTATTTTATATTTATAAAAAAAATATGAAAAGTTACATGAAGATCAAACATTGCCAGGGCACAGAATACTTAATAATCCAAGATAGCCAGGGGTAGATCTACCTTCTGGTAAAATATTTTATTTTATAACGGACTATATATATCTGCCTAATGATATAATTATTTCAAACCAATGCATAATAATGGCAACTCAAATTGGTGTTTTAGATTATAGTCGGGATGGAAAATTGCTTCGAAGCACGCACCACCAAAATTCGCACACAAATAAACATGTTAACAATCAAAATTTATCTATAGCAATTTGATTTTTGTGCCGTAACAATAAAGTTCCAATAACGAAGATAGGCTCTTAAAATGACTTCAGACTGACCGGATATTGCATGGATATATTAATTTTGGGCAGTCTATCCAGTAGAGATTAACATGAACCGTGAACATTTTTTATTCACTGGAAACTGAGTAATGTCACAATTTACATTATTTTAGATCGATTTAACACATCGAGTGCATTATTTATTGTAAATTATTCCAAACCTATTCAATGTTTTTTTTTTTTTGAGAAATGAGTTTAATTTCCCGTACACTTTGTCCATAAAATATCACCATTTTTACATACAACACTTAGGCTAAATAATATAAAAAGGTCTTTAGTTTTGGCTGGTTGGTATTTTAGACTAAAGTTTCGTTTTTCTTTTTGAGGTAAAAAAAAGGAAAAAGCGGACAAAACACGATATAAACTTTTTGCTACTGGAATCACCAAAACGACAAATATTAACTGTTGTACTTAACTTTAACTTGTGTAAAATTTTTCATATTTTTTTTCTAAAATTGTTTTTTTTGTTTGTCATCAACTTTTTACAAAAATTTACTTAAATTACTTGAAATTACATTTACATACTTGGAATGACTGGTACCGCAAATAGTTTTGGAGATAATAGCAAAAATTAAAGTTTTCTACGTGGACGAAGTCGCGAGTAAAAGCTAGTTATTACGCTTCGAGCTGCCATTAATCAGAATGAGATGTAAGTGATTGTTATTACAACAGGATACAACATGCAACCTTGAAACCGCCGGCCAACCGATATTTTAAATTACAATTGAATATTGCCGTATGGAACAATTTTATTCACAGTTTTTAACTCAAAGTTTCTGATCATGTAGATTTAAATTTAAATAGCCAATGCGGACGTACTCTATATTATGGCGAAATATAAAAAGTAAAAGATAAATGTAACTATTATGAAATTTGTCACCGAATACATGTTTTTATAAGTTAGGCCTTTAAAAATGATCACGTAATATATACTCAAAAAACTATTAAAATCGTTTCTATTATAATCTAAATCAGCTGCGCTCTGAAATCGAACCAAGAGACAATACGTTTACACAATAAATATGTTTGCATGTTTTTTTAATTAAAAATGAAACATAAAATCAATTTTCTTGAGATAACAGCAAAAGTACCTACTTATATAAATCATTGACAGTGGAAACTGGATACGGGTTGATAATTGAGATGTTTCTATTATTGTTAGGTGCAATACAAGCTCCACATTCAGATGAATGATCTGTTAAGATTTTATGAAAAGTAAATTTTCGCGCTTTTTAAACTTAGAAACAAGTTTGATTCGGTATAAAGTAATTTATAATATATGTGTCGTACGTATATAAATTTTTGTATCTTTAGTGGCCACCTAAACACACATGAACTATAATAGAATGAAATATAAAAATATTAGAAGACCGTATGTTTGTCATGTACGTCCGAAGCTCTTCACTCGCGTCTTAGGCGTATTCTACCTGACTAATACATACGTCAACGAAAATAAGTCGGGTGTATTTCAAAAATAAATTTATACATTCCCGGCAGTCATGATCCACTTTACCTGCCCTCACGCGAATGTAAAATATTCTCAAGGTGAAAATGAAATGTATTTTGCATGACATTACAGGCGGACACCGATCGATAGAATTGTAAATGATTTTAATAATGTATAAAGTACGTATAATTTAAAGCAGGAATAGTTTCCGACGCGTACCTCACATGGGTGATATATGCGACTGAATTGAACTATTCACGATATTACAATACGCCGCAAATTGTTCCATTTTACAACATACAAACGCTATTTACAACCGTTGTTTGTATTAAATATATAGTATACGTTGGTATGGTACATTGCCTCCGTCTAGGAGTCTAGACGAAGAGTCTATATAACGTTGAATATATACACTTATACATAAGTAGCAAAAATAGCGTATCTACATTCAAACGATTTAAGCTTTATTTTGCGAGGGCGAAAAATGATTCGAAATGAAAAAAACAAATGAACGCTACGATTAAGAGTATGACCACAAAATAAAGATGACGCCGAGCGCTTGATGAAAGCGCTTACGTGATGTGTATTATCCAGATACGTTTATTAATAACATCGATAGATCGCTGCGTTACCATATTTACGCAACAGTTGCCTGGAGGGTGATATTAAAGCCTTGCGTTCTAACATAGCAACGATTAATATTCATGATGTAAAATGTTAACATTAATAATACTCTGGCTCGTGTCATTAAAAATAATAATCGAAAATATTACAAAGAAGCAGATAGATACACAACACTGATTGATGGCTAATCTGATTATAAACTATTACACCCACATCGATATTTTAATTTACGAACAATACAGAATGCTACGAGCAAAACTCGTGAAAACATTTAATTAACACAGGTTATGTATTGTATAGGGAGCACTAAAATAATTCAAAAGATGTCGCAGCCAACTATTGCTTGACTTTATTATGAAGCGTAGTGACTGGTGAGACTCATTTAAATATTATACGAGAATTGAAAAATATTTGTTGAAATTAAATTCTTTCTGCACTACTGAACGGTTAGGAGTTGGCATAATGAAATAAATTATGAATTATATATATTGTATTGTATTGTATTGAAGTTTCGATATAATATTTATACCGAAACTAGAAACCCGCCCGGACTTCGACTGGCTTGAATCTACTAATGTGGCGTTATTTATTTTTAATATAATCATTAAACACCATTTATGTATTTTATAAATTTAGCATTAAAAAAAAATTAAAACTCAACATAGGCAGTTATTTTGATATAACAGGCTGACCCTTCAATTTTATTTATATGTATGTGTCACAGTCAAAACTCATAACCGGTCAAACCACTTTTAGACTGCAAAAATCAGGCAAAAATGGTTTTGACCGATGCCCTTAGTCAAAAACAGTTGACTGATTTTTGTAGTCAAAAGTGGTGTTGTTTAATTTAAACTTCAGACATCAGTAACATTAGGTTAAGGTGCGGCTGGGTTGGCCCTTGGACCACCCTAAAGCCGCGTACATTATAATGATTTAAAAAATAATATTGATCAAATTGAACCATTTAATTTCAGAAATTCAAAAGTATAAGTCAAAAGAAGTTTTGACTAACAGTATTGGTCAAAACCACTTTTAACCGATGTATTTTGGTCACTATTACCCAGTATTTTTGCAGTTAAAAGTGCATTTGACCAAACAGCCTTAGTCAAAACTACTTTTGACTGCAAAAATCAGTTAAAAGTGGTATTGACAAACGTCTTTAGTCAAAACTACTTTTGCCTGATTTTTTACAGTCTAAAGTGGTTTAGACCAGTTATGAGCTTTGCCTGTAACATATGGATGTGTACAGAATAACAATGACCAGAGTTTCTTTGAAGGATTATATTATGACTACCATATAATTCCGAGATACATAATATAATACTTCACAGATTCATCTTCCGCCTATTTAAAGTCCACATCTGACAACCTATTTTGTATAACGCTTTAGCAGACATGATTTTTTTGAGGGACGTATGAATACATTTTTTATATTATAAAGTTATACATATATTAATATTTTATAATTATGGTTTGTTGATTTTCTTAAGTGAACGGCTCTAATTTGAATCACTTCGAATCGATCGACAATCGCTCGTAGATGTAAAAGATTTTAATATTAATTTTCATAACCAATTTTTGAAGAGATGAGACACTTTAATTTATCACCTGTACACTCCGTAATGTTTTCCCGAAGCCCTGTCGCCGCAGATAGAGCATAGGTGCTTGGAACCACTCAGGGGGTGATTGGGGGGATAATTTCGGAGGGCAGGTGGCGAGGTAGCATCATCACGGAGCCCGTCCAACATCGCCGTGTCAGGCTTCATCTCCGGAGGCGACATCGGCGACATGAACCCCGCCTCCAGGTTTAGCCCTGCAAATAAAAGCCCTTAAATAATATGATGGTCGTTTACGAAATTCTATTCTTATCGAGATTAGAAATTCAAGGAATATGTTTCGATATATTTTAAAGGCTTTAACTTAATATCTAATTTACACGAGAAGCAGAACTGAGAGAACTCTTTTATATTTTATCTGGACATTTTTATAATGTAGATAAAAATGTCAGTCAGACGAAATAAAATTCATTGAAGTTAATACTTTGCTAATGCAAAGAAAAGTGGATTTTTGAAAAAAAAATGCGTTTCTGTAAATTTCATTTATTATTATTATTTTTACAATGTCCTTGTACAAAATAATTTACAAAGATTATATTTACTGAATATGAGAAGAGCTATTTAAACGCACCCTGACCTCGTATATCAAGAAAATGACACTGGCTGTTGAAGGATGCGTAAAAAGTAGTATCTAAAAACTTATTTTAAAAATTTGAAAAACCCCGAGACAAAAGGAGCTGATGATCTTCAAACGGCTGAACAGATTTTCTTGAAACGTAGCTAAGAACACTCTCGATTAATTATTTACCTTACAAGCGAAAAAAAATTTAATTAAAATCGGTTCATCCGTTCAGAATCTGATGCCACAGAGACACACAGATACACACTGCAGACTTATAACACCGCACTGTTTTCGTCGGGGAGTACTTATCGGTACTATAATCAAATTTCGCGATCTGATAATTTAATAGAAGAATGGTAGAATATTTAGTAGCGACGACAATTCGATATAAGTAGAACAATATTAGTTGGGGAATTCCCCTTACAAATATCATTAATCCCTTTGTCTTTTTTGTATGGGCTATATATTATGTAACTGTTCTGATTCTGTGTGTTTGTTCATTAGTAATTCGTTTGTAAAATACCTTACGTAAGAAATTCCTACTAATACAATAAGAAGACATTCCAGAAGAGATTCCAGAGACATGTAATTAAGGAGTGCCTTAAAACGTACCATGTAAATGATTATGAATTATAATTATAAATTAACATAAAAAAATTAAAATTATGAATACTAAAGTGGAAAAGTTTGCAAAAAAACGACATAGGTATGTATATGTAGTCATTAAGACGTGCTTCTCTTCGTGTTAATTTAAAGATCCATACAAACAAAGTGCAGGCACAAGTTTTAAAAAGCCGACGTTTGCTTTTCCACTAAAATTTTGAAGCTAAAACACAAAAAAACAAAAGCTTTGAAAACAAACAAAACGATGTCCGCCGCTCAGAGCGCGCCGACACAACCGGTCCATTAGTCTGAGGGCTGTCGCGTCGCACAGTAAACAGCTACTCTTTGTTGAGTAGGAGAAAGTAATTTACTTATGCAGTCTTTCTGTAACTTATCAATGTTATATGAAATTGACTTTAACTTTAATTACCTTTGCAAATTTATATAGGTATATATAGAGGTTTCCACCTATGTACTGACGCATCAAGCTATCTCTTGAACCATAAAGCCTAGAGACTTGAAATTTGGTAGGAATATTCCTTTAACCGAGTAGAGGTCAGCAAAGAACGGATTTTGCGAAATTCCACCGCCAAAGGGTGGTTGCGGGGGCGTTAAATAAAAACCCGTGTGGAGCCGGGGCAGATCGCTAGTATTCATATATAACAGTTTTAAATATCCACTTTGTCCTATGCAAAGAGTTTGTCCTCAAAAGTGACAAGGCTCCCGTAGCCTTGTTTGTTTGAAAGTTACCTGTTGGTTAAAAGTGTCCATTGGCTGCAATTGGCCAATTTGGCCGCTCTGTGCTGGATGCGGTCAAGTGGAAGGAGCTGGCACTGGGGAGCCCCGGTTCAGAAATAAGAACAGTATACCATGTGAGGCCGAACCTACGCCTTGTAAAGTTGCAACCGGTGTGCCGGCATGAAATAACCGAGCAAGCTGAGTCAACAAACTTTAAAATTGAGTTAAACGCGCAAAAAGATACAATATCTTCTGGCGATTGAATAGGACTAGATTTAGTCGGCCCTAATCCGAGATTTTGTACAACCTCGACTTCAGGCACAAGTTTGTTCCGGTACTCGACGACGAGCTTCCGATAAACATTGGCAGGCCAATGTAAAAAGCATCACTAGTGTTGTCGTCCGCGTGGTAATGTATGTTACTTGTTTGTAACATATCCTTGATATGCAGAAAATACAAAGTAGGTGATAGCACGCAGCCTTGTGGAACACCATCATTTATAGGCTTGTAGTCGGCGCTTGACTACTATCCCACCTGAGGTTAAGTGGTGATGTAGCCGACGATATTAAACCGCACTGACTTAGCTTAAAAAAGACTATTCACTCTTGTCCTGAAGACAAACGTTATTATCATCATGATCATCATCATCATCATTACAGCCCTTCACAAGTCCAATTCTGAACATTGACCTCCCCCAAGAAATGCCGCAACGCATGGTCGCGAGCTACCTGCATCCATCGACTTCCTACATATCTTATCAGGTCGTTACTCCATCTAGTGGGGGGCCGCCTTACACTTCGTTTACCGGTATGAGGCTCCTACTCGAGAATCTTGGGAAACATCAGTCGGTTCTTTGTGCTACATGACCGGCTCATTGCCACTTCAGCTTACTAATCCGTTGGGCTATGTCGGCTACTGTGGTGCTACTGCGGATATCCTCATTTCTGAAACCCCGAGTATTGCTCTCTCCCAGTGGCGGATTTACCAGCAGGCTGAGTAGGCTGAAGCCTAGGGCGGCAGATTTTAGGAGCGGCAAATTTGGGATCAAGTTTTTTGGTGTTTTATATAAATTAAAAAGATTCATATTTATATACTACCTAAATTTTATTAGGTCCACAAACAATTCAACACGTAATATTTTTCACCATTTAGATAAATGTTTCTATATTTTGAGTAATCCCGTTTGATTGTGGCGCGGGAACGAGAGACATGACCATTCACTAAGTATCTGACCGAAATGCCGAATTGATTACATAAGCGCGGCGCTCTCGAGAGAAAATATAATATCTTTTATTTTAGTTCTTTGATTAAAAAAAATAGTGATGGGACAAAGCGACAGTGGGGTTGAGTATAAAAAAAGGCCTAAATGAAAAAATAAGAACAAAGATACATTATCCGTAAAGCGATAAAATCGACAGTTTTTTCGAAAGTAGTGTTGAAAGACCAGGAACTTCAATAACATGCACTGCCACAATAAAATCAGTAAAAGATGAAACTGATTTGAACTCTGTGGCTCAATAACAACAGTCATCTGTTGAATAATTTACTTTAGAAAAAAAAAACGGATATTTAAGGAAGAGGCTCAATAGGAATTATCTTACAATCAGACGTTAAGTAATAACCCAGTGCAAACAGCAGTAAATCTAAACAAAGATCCAGCTTCATGGAAAATCACCGATACCGTAAGGGAGATTATCGCTAGGTACGGCTTCGATCCAAGCAAGTTTTGTGACTTCTCTAAAGTGAAAAAATATATGCTGATCAGAGTCGTTTCTTGCGAGTATCTTTAAAATAAAAATGAAAAATAGTGATGTAAATGACCAAATTGGCTGGTTTATTCGGTAGTAAATGGTCTGTGTATTACGGGCACTGTTTGGCATTCGGTCCATCAGCGAATAAGACTCAGTTTGAGAACGAAGGGTTTAATTAATTGAAAAATGCAGAATTTCAAGTAGCTCAGCATGAAAACTCTGCTTGTCACAAATCTAGTATCCCTAGTCTGTATATGTAAGTTATAAGAGAGATTGATGGTCGACGCGACAATTTACTGCATGTCCAGATTGATGACGACATGTATTGACTGAAATAGGGAAAGGAAAAACGCTAAAGTGAATAAATCTGGCACGTTAGTCAGCTAAAGAGGATGCAGGTAGAAGTTTAAGAAATTCTTTGCATGAAGTCCTTAAAACTTGGGATTCAATCGAGAATGATTGTACCAAAAAGCCTGTAACGCAAAACGAAGCGACGGGAATACTTTTGAATTTAGAAAAATTTGGAACACTGGTTGTGTGGATTGTTTTTTTGGAAAAAATAAGCAAGGTGAATGTATAAATTCAGGCTTCTACCGTAGGTTTGATCATTCTCCTTGTAAGTTTTTCGTAACTGAACGTGAAAATTTTAAGTATTTCAACAATTTCGGAATTAAGCGTACCTACTGCTTCGAAGCAGTATACAAAAGATGGTGTAAAAAGACAACCGAAAAGGAAAAAAAAAAGATGAAATACCCGATAAATACTTTCAAGGCCAACACATATCTCATCCTCATTGATAGACTCCTATCAGAATTAAAAAAAAAAAACGGCGGGAGGCCTACAACATGTTTAATGAAAAGTTTTCATTTTTGACCAAAATGAGTGGATTGTTATCATCAATCCTTACAGGAAAAGCCTTTTTTTTTTTTTGGAAGAAATGTATTAGAGACAGACTTAGTTCAAGAATGCCACCATTCATTCATTTTCAAAGCCACCTTTCTTCTAAAGGATTTTTAAGGAAACCCTATTCTGGATTATTGAAAAGTCTATCTTCGGTCCTGCAAAAAAATTTGCATAACGTTTATCCAAAATTTATATAATTAATAGCAGTTCGCATAGCTCTACTTCTACACCAACGACAGATTGTTAGGGTGGGGAGGCTTTTCTTGCTTAAATCGGGTGAAAAATTATCTTTTTATTTACCTTAAAGCAAGAAAATTAAACGCCTTGGCTCTTTTGTAGATAGAGTCAGACCTAATGAACAAGATTTCATACGATGATATTGATTTTCCCAATAGGAAAACGCGCATAAAGGTATTACTTATTATTATGCGTTATTGTTTTTAACTGGTTCAGTGCGGGTGGCACGCCAGGCGGGCCATCGATTACTTTTGTGTGTGGTGTATGACACACGAATCGTGTCTTTTTAAAAATCGTTATAACTCGCTCAAATTGCTTTTTTGTAAGATTTTTCTAACAGTGGTAGTGCCACGCGGCAGCTTTTGCTATTGCACGGATAGGCCGGCTCGAACCGGGGTGGTAC